CATTTATGTATATCCTATAAGCTTCATGATTTTTTAGTGATTGGTTTAAGATCTGCTTAATTTACTAGTAAGTAAATTGGTTTTTCTAAATAAATTGTTAAAAGATCCATATTGTTCAATAGCAAACCTTAAATTAAACTTATGATGTTCTCTGAACGACAATTCAGTTTAATATACGTCAGTGACGCGAAAAAGAAAACCCTTTATTTATTTATTGCATTTCTATATACTAATTTTATTATGTTATTAATGTTATTTTGTTCACTAAATAACAAAAGCAATAAATACTTGCAAAATGTTTTAATTAAAATTTAGGATTTCGACAAAATTAACTTATCGCATTTAGACCAAACATTAAAGTTAACGAAAAAAATTGACTTTGGTCGATCGACAGTTGTGACCAACTATCCTTTATTGACCCAATTTGGCATCGTGCAACTTTTATATGTTTGAAAAAATGTTTTTGATGATGAAAGGAAAACAGTTTTTTGAACATATAAGCTATTACAAGGCTTGTACCGACATCTTGACGAACCGTATTTTAAGACATAATAATCGCGCATGTATTCATTTATTCATATGTCTGAAATTTTTATAATGCATCATTCAAAGATCTACTTACTATAACCAATTCATGTAAAGTCCAATAAGTTGTTTTAATACAAATATCTACTCTTAAAAAACTCCCGTGAATGAATGGTGTATGTTTGGTTTTGATAGATATTTTCTTATTAACTATTAGCTATATCTACTAAGTTTTTTTCAAGCAGCGTTAATTTTATTTCATTTTCTATGATTCAATAAAAAAAACATTTTACAATATATTATGAATATTAAATTCTTCTCGACACTTTAAATATAGAACATTATTAAAATTAAAATAAAACAAAAAGTAGATAAAAATATATATATATAAATTATTATATAATATATTTATAAATTATTTCTTACTTTAGTTATTTGTTATGTAAATTTTGCAACAAATTAATTATAAATCACGGAACTGTTACCCATTTATAAAAATCATATAATGATATATATATATATACAACAATATTAAACCTTTAGTATATTTAAATTTATAATTAATAAAACAGAATTCCAATTAATAATAATAATTATTTACTACAACTTCTAAGTTATTTAGAACCTTTGACAGGTATTCAGACATCCGTTTGAGCTGAATAAAAATGATTAGCCGTACAGATTAAAATCTTTTGTAAGTAAGATTATTTGCATATAATGACTTAAACAGATTTAATTCAATAAAGTGTTTTTAATTAATTTTATTATCTTTTAACTTAATCGATATTGAATTATATAACTAAAACTTTATGATACAATACGGAATAGAATTTGAAGTAGCAAAGAATTGCTTGGGAAAAATCTATTTATGTGTATATATAACACTCGAATTAAGGTGTGAAATACCATTTATTTAAGAACATAATCATTTATAAGGTATTATATTTAAAGAATTAATAAAAAAAGGAGTGATGTAAGCAAAATTAATTATAAATTATGGGAAAATAAAACTCCCCTAGACGAAGAACTGAATACATTTTGTTGTGGAGTTTATGTCTTTTTTTAACGAAGAGAGACTACTTAGTTGTACGAGAAGTATTTAAATATTTTCGTATATTTAAATAAATAGTTTTTGTTAAATTTTTGGAAAATTTATATTATTTTGTTTTTAATAATAATCACATATCCTACATGCGCATAGTGCAAGATTCCTATCTTAGGTTTAGAAAGATACTTGCGACACATTGAAATAGATAATAATATCAGGTTTTCTTAAGATCAGACGAAATGCATTTATTTTTATTGAATTTCAAGTTGAAATTATTTATTTATCGTGTTTATCTATCGTAGAATTACATAATAGTTATATAATTGAATATAATTGATAAATAATTAAAGATCTAACATATTTAACATTAGATCGAATCAGGAGTTACGACATTTTAACACTTTTTAAGTCCCATTTACTATTTACTACGTTAGTTCTTGCTGTTGGGAAGTTCAGATTACGTGAGTATCTAGTGAGAATAGTAATTGTATTAAAAAAAAAAGTAATTAGTAATTATTAAACTTGAAGCTTACTTTCAAGAAAGTGTAAATAGAAATTTGAAAGAATTTAGGATAGAATTGGATACAATCAAGTTAGCATCAGGGTTTGGTGTTAGCGTATTAGTTTTGTTTTATACGTTTGACAATATGTATTTACTATATTTAATATATAAATTTTTTTAAGTGGCCATGGACCACCAGCTTTGAAACTAAAAGAGCAAACCTAGACTTTAAGTAGTAGAATGCGTTACTATTTTAATTGCAGTGCTCAACCCATATTGAGCATTCTAATAATTAATAGAAGTGGATATATTCACTAGTCTACAATAACTAGATACAGATCTTCTGTGTCATTATACTTTTACCGTTACTAGGGAAAGAGACGAAAATGTGCACCTTTTTGTATTGTTCTAAATTCTATATTCACATTTAAAACTCCCATCTATATTTATTTGTTTACCTTGTTTTTCCAATAATGTAATAGCAATAAAAACAAACACTTTAATTACTTTATGGTTTAATCTTTACGCAACCTGATCTGTAATTTAGACAAAGTTGAAATTTAAAACTTTTATGTTCTAAATCAAGAACTTTATCCTCAATATGAAAAACTTATGTTCAATAAATAAAGTTAAAAATTTTACATAAAAGAAAAAATTATAGTCCAATATACCATATTTTGTGTAGCACCTAATCTTCAAAAGAAAAACTAAATTATTGTAACTTATTTATTATTATATTGAGGCTAGTTGAGTCAGTGCACTTGAGCACTTTTACTCTCTATTAACTGCAATGTTTCTTCCTTTCTACGCCCCTCTTTACGCTTTGACTGGATTATAGTTTATCACTTCATCAGACTAAGCAATAATTGACCTCAGATCTGTTTACCTCCCCGAGGAGACTGTAATCATTCTGAGATTCGATAAGGCGGTGTTGATAAGCCTGGCAGTTTTCGTAAATAATTTTAGGGATCTATCCTTTATGAATTTTTTGAACGGTGTGAAGTATACCTGTTAAGCTAATTAGTAACAAAATACATTTCTTTTACACTGCGTTGAGTTGAGTTGAGTTAGACAAGATAATTAAGTTGAAGCGAACAAAGGATCAATCAGCAGTTAAGTAAATGTAAAAACTATATAACAAAAAATGCAATTTTATATGAGATTTAAATTTTGTGATCAAATTATTGATATGCAACATAACTATTTGTGTGAAAAGCAAAATTGATTCCAATGGATACGCATTTCATGAAAGACTTAAGTTATTCGTAGGCTTGAAATGCCGGTCCATTTTGATGGATATATTTTAAATAAACCTTACTTAATAATGAGAATATTTTTTTATATCAATTAATATGATTTCATATTCATTCAAACAGCATGTAATCTGATTATAAAATACAATTGAATAATACTGCTAAATACCTTTAATTTATTGATAATTTGTAAAAAAAACACTTTTGACAGATGTATTATGAAAGCTTATCAGATGCATAGATAAAAATCTTAAGCACTCTCAACGTTTAAAGTGACAAGTTGAATGCAATAATTACTATAAGTCAATAAATTAAGTGCATCATTTTTATCTACATAGAAATAACTGAAATTGCTGAACAAATTGTCATAAATCTGGTGGGGTTTTTACGCTAAGTCGACTCGTTTGACTAGTTGCGGGTGCCATTTGGTCTGCTTTAATTAAGTCAAAACAAATGAAACCCAACCCGAACAGATCATACTGAACGTACTGATCGTAAGAATGAAATTTATTGAGTTGAGCTGTTGGGTTCGATATATTAAATTGTCAGCATTTTTATATAAATTTTGTTGTTTTACTTTGGTTGTTAAGTTTCACTTTAGAATTATTTTAAAAATTCATTAATTGCAAATAATAAAAATTTAATTATTGGAAACAAGTTACGTTATTGCTGTCTTGTTGTTTTAATTTTATTTCACTTAATATTTTTGTTTTTAACTGCGCAAACGGTTTTGTATCCGTTTGGTGTGGCTTGAATTTTAATTTTATATAATTTTGAATGTACCCATACTTTCAAAAAATTATACTAAATTCAAAATTACTTTTTTAAACGTTTTCATCCTTTATTTTTCACTTTTTATTAAATTACAATCGGTAAACAACGTTTTATTATTTGTACTTTGCGTTAAAAAAAAATAAAATTATTACTTATTACATATTTTTAAGATGCACTCAAATAAGACTGGGGATTAATTAATTGCTTTTCTTTTTACAACAAATATAAAGTAGACATCGTCTGGTATAAAAATCAGTATGCCTGATTATAAAATATGCCATGCTCTATAAAACTAAGGGGAATGTTGAATCAAAAAGAAAATTTCGATAATTGAATGTGAATCCCTCTAACGTAATTTGCGGTGCTAAACATAAACATCATGTATCATTTGTATCCAAACTATAGTTTAAGTTTAAAAACATTCGCCTTTTCAACACAATAATTAATTTTACTGTTTTTACACTGCTTAAAATGTTTATTTTTAAAACGATATACATAGTTTTTAAATTTTATTATCTCATATTTCATATCATTCGTCTGGATATTTGAACATGATAGATTTTATGGCACTTAAATAACGAAAAAGCTTGCAAGGAATAATGTCCTATCCTAAGAGAAGTAGAAAGTTATTAAGAAATATCTACTGGAATTATTCTATTAGTGAAATTTTCAGTAGACCTAAACTCAGATAAGTTACTGGTTGCTTTAATCTCATATCTAATGAGTGATACTGTTATTCAATTGTAAAATACCTCTCCATTTTAACTGGTAATGTTCTGCAATTTTTAGCGGAATGGCTCATTGTCCTTTCTCGTAATAATAACAATAATATTTTATAATATTTATTTAAAAACAATTAACATATGTTAAAAATTGTTTTTTTTTTCTCAAATTTCAGAACCGAAATCATTAGTTGTTGTTGGTAAACCATCTCAAATTGATACAGAAAATTTAGATGAAGTAAATTTAAATTCATCAAGTGAAGATACTCAACCGGCTCAGATTGATACAAACTCCAATCCACTACTTGAACAAAATACAACTAGTTCTGATTCTATATTAAGTCAAGCAGCTTCTTCATTTTCAGCTCTACCCTCTGTAGCGTCTAGCGTTTTTTCTACATTTTCAAAACGTATCTATTCTGGAAGCTCTTCTCGGGAATTAACGCCAAGTACAGAACATATTAGTACCGATACAAATGCTAATTTTCAGGGACAATTAAATATACAACCAGCATATATACAACCGCAACAAGTGCCACCACCACCACAAATATTACATTATCAACAAACAGTGCCACAACAACAGCAGCTACCATTTTTACAACAATCCGTAACACCATCACAGGTAGATTATCCTGCGGTTTTACCGCCACCACCAACACTATTACAATCTTCAGTAAATAATAACAACCAAAAGTAAGTAAGCTTTATTGAAATTATATAACATTTTTATTTCATTTATATCTTCTAAATTTTAAGTGCTTTAATTGATCAAGTAAATGCACCATTACCGGATTTCTCTAGTGTGCCCACAGTAGAACCGCCTAAATTATATACACCAACTGATGTGCCCACATTACCAACAGTGAGTGCACCACCGTCGTTAGGTCAAAATACTTATCGTCTTAAAGCAAAGAAAAAAATATATGCTCCTATACCTGGGTTCTCACAGCAAACATTTCAACCAACACCAGTAATTGATCCGTTAGCTGTAAATGCACCAATATCCTATCAAGAATCACAATTTCCACAAACTGAAGTAAATCAGCCAACCAACTTTACTTCTTCAGATACATTCTTTCAACTACAACCACAGCAACAACAACAACAACAATCATATGCTCCACCAGCACAAGAAGTGCGCAAGGGTGGTTTATTTTCATTAACTAATTTAGTACCAACTGGAGTTCTACAAAATATTTCTGGACTTGTACAATCGGCTGCTGATACTTTAACACAAACTATTAAATCAGAACCTTCACAGCCAATAAGTACACCACAATTATACCAACAACCTTATACATCTGAGCCATATAACACAAACTATTTTGGACAGACATTACCACCAACACAAAACGTTGAACCTCCATCAGCAGTTCCATTTCAACCTAGTACCTATAATATAAATCAAATACCAGGAACGAATAGCAGTGTTGCAGATCAAAATATTACTTCAACTGTTCCGCCATCGAATATTCAAGTAACTACCACCGGTAATGTTATACCAGACATAAATCAAAACGCTGCAGCTTTTTTCCATACAAGTTTACCGGCAACAGCAAGTATACCTACTACTTCTGTACCAGCCCCTCCTCAGCAGAATATTCAAATTGGTGAGGTGAACAAACCATTATCAGCTTTAAATATTTTTAGTCCTATAACTGAATCAAACACACTTTCAACAATTTTACAACCAACTGAATCAACTGAACCAACTAATTTGTTCAAACTAAATACCGATAACTCACAATCATTGAATACTGCTCTTGAGCCTAAATTTACTACAGATTCTGACGCATTCCCAACAGCAACTCAACCGGCTGGGGGTATACCGCCAGCAGCTGGTGTTTCTAGTTTAGGTCATATACAATTGCAAAATCCACCTTCTTCAACTACTGCACCACATCAACTGCCACCAATATCAAGTGGCCCAGTTTCATTTCGGTTACAAAAAAAACCAACTTCAACAAATGTAAGTGAAACTGCTTCTTTGGTTTTCAATCAACCATTAGTTCCACAACAACAGTACCCTTTGATACCGCCAGCAATTTTTAATCCGTTCGATGCGCCAGTATTAACGGTTGGCGGTAATTTTAATACGCAGTCTAATATTGTACAATCTGGAAACTATTTTATACAAGAATCTGTGCCATTAGTTGTACCTGAGAATCCATCAATTAATGCAACTGAAGTTAAACATACAGCGGCAAATATACTTGAACCAACTAATATACTTGAAACTGTTGAACTTTCTACTACACTAAAAGAAACACAATCTATAAACTCGCCTTCTGCAATAGAAGAAATAAAAGCAGTAGATATCAACGTTTCTGCTCCAATAATTGAACATTCTAACCAACAGGATTCTCAAGAGCACAACTTAAAATCAGAATGTCAATTGTCTTCGGACACAGTTGGTCTTATTGATAAACAAGATCAAGTTTTTTCAAGTTCGGTAATTGGACCGGGAATAGATCAAGCCACAGATGATTTAGGTCATAATTTGAAGACTTTATCAGTTGAAACCGAAACAAAAACCAAGGATTTAGCAAACTTTCTGCCTCCACCGCCTCATACTCCTACGCAACGAGGAGCAGTCAATCCATATAAAAGAGAAACTGTACGTTCACACGCTACAGCAGCGGTTTCTCAATCAAATTTAGCCAATTTTTTTACACCTGTTCCAGCAAACAACGCAGGTGGATCTGAATTTAATTTCTTTGCTACGTCTACAACTACTGAACCCATAAATTCTATAAATTCCTCTTTTCAAACAACACAACAAGAAAGTCAAACTTCTGAAACAACTCAACTAACTAATTTTTTCAATCAACCAATTGAAACGTCTGTACACAATTTAAGCCAAAATACTTTTGATATTAATACTTCAAGTGCAGTACCACAAGGGCTTTTTTCTCCAACATCTCAAATAGTTGGTGCAGCGCCACCAATATTGTTACAAGAAAAAGCTAACGAAAAGTCTATTGCACCACCATCAACTGAAGCGCTAAAATATAATTTAAATCAAAGTACTTTTGAAGTTACTGATAAACCAAGTGCAGTACAACAAGTATTTTATTCTCCATTGCCTCAAGTAGTAGATATACTGCCACCTTCATTGTTAGAAGAAAAATCTAACGAAAAATCTGTTGTAGCACCTGCTATTGAAACGGCACAACATAATTTAAATCAAAATACTTCTCAAGCAGCCAATAACTTAAGTGGAATAACACAAGGATATTTTCCTACGCAACCACAAGTAATTGGAATAACGCCACCTTCATTGTTACAGGAAGAACCTAGTAAAAAATCAACTGAAACTGAAACTTTGACTCATAATTTAAATCAAAATACTTTAGAAGTTATTGATACTTCAAGTACAGTACCACAAGGATTTTTTACTCCATTATCTCAAGCAGTTGGTATAGTGCCACCACCATTGCAGCAAGAAAAGACTAACGAAAAGTCTTTAGAACAAGCACCAATTGATACACCAAAATACAATTTAAATCAAAATACATCGGACGTTACTGATAATTTATCACAGATACCACAGGGATTTTTTCCTCCATTACCTCAAGTAATTGGTATTGCACCACCACCATTGGCACAGGAAAAACCTAATGAAAATTCTATTCTAACAGCATTGAACACAAATTTTGCTCCGCCACCAATTGGTTTTGATAATATAGTTAAACAAACATTCGCCACAGTTGCGTCTACGTCTGAAATATTGCCGGAAGTGGAAAATTTAGATAAATCAAAAAATATTGAATTAAAAAATTTACCATTGGAGAACATTTCAGATAATAATTCTACTTCAAATTTTTTTTCCACTTTTTATTCTGGAACATCAAATTTACCAATACAGCAAGCGCAAAATTCTCAGTCAATACTTCCAGACCCATTAACATTTTTTGATTCCTTTGCGATAAACAATTCTCAGTCACCATTCAGCGCAACTGCGCCTGCACTAGAAACTGCTGATGAGGAACAATACAAAGAAGCAGCACAAACCAACGAAGATCAACTTATAAATAATTTTTTTAATAATCCACCACCTAAGGAAAGTGGGTCAGGAGTTGGTGATCTAAACTATGATCTAGTACATACTGGTTTAGCTGTTAAAAACTTACATACTCGTTCATTAACTCCAATTTCGAATGTAGTAGAACCGCCGTCGTCATCGTGTTCGGAATTTTCAGAATTAAATAATAGCGCGGTTTTGGCACAAAAAGTAATTTCAGAAACTGAAAAAAATAAAATAATACCACAGAAGGTCTGTGATTCTGATAAAACTGATAAAACAGAAAATATAAACGAAGAAATTAAACATTACGAGGAGTTACCAGAAGAAATACTACAGTCACTTAGAATGGCTAATTTGTTGATAAGCGAAAAAGGCGATGCCACAGCACCACCAGCTACAATTGTAAGTTTGATTAATAATCAAAATCTCACAAATTAAGTGTATTATTAAAATATACATTATTATAGGCATATACAGCTGCTATAAAACATTGGTTTTATAAACGTGCTGATGGCAATAAATTTGTGTGGACACCATTTAGTCATTATGACTCAGCATTGTTGGAAACAAGTCTTATTGCTGGTAGTGGTAAGTAAAAGAGGTTTAAATTTTTTTGTGTGCGGTTTATAATATATAGAGTATTTCGTAGATGTTTTAGATAGCTCAACACAGTTAGTAGCTGTTGAAGGCGGGCGTTATGATGTCAATATATCTGCACGTTCAAAAGTGCCAGTATATTGGGAAGGCGACCCCATTGAAGTAAGACGTTGCTCTTGGTTCTATAAAGCAACAGACTCGAATTATATACCATATGATGAAGAGACGGCTGAGTTATTAGAGAAAGAATATAAGCAAGCAGCAGAAAGTGGTGTATGGCATAGAAAAATAGTTATTACCGGAGGAGAGCTGGTTGTATTTCATGGTCCAACAGTAATCGTACATTTTCAACAGCAAAAAAATACAGATGCTTGGGGAGGCACATCAGTAAGTATTAATATGTTTGGCAACGATATAATTGAAAATATCCTCTTTTTTGCTTGTTCTAAAATAGCAAGTTACTTCGCGCCCACGTGTAGTTAAACGTGATTTAGATGATTTTGTTATAGAACAAGGTGAATCACAACGAGTCGATCATTTATTATTGATGGTACACGGTATTGGTGCCGCTTGTGATCTAAAAATGCGTGCAGTGGAAGAAGTTGGTAAGTTGCAATTCATTTGATTTTTAAAATATTTAAAATAAATTAATAAACCTTGGTTTAATTTTAGTTGATGATTTTCGAACTATTGCACAACAATTAGTACAATCTCACTATAAAAATTCGACAGAAATGGGTATTGTTGGACGAGTGGAAGTTTTACCTATATCATGGCATAGCGATTTACATTCAGAAGAAATGGGCATTGATGAAAAACTCAAATCGATTACTTTAGAATCAATACCAAAACTAAGAAATTTTACTAACGATACTTTACTTGACATTCTTTTCTATACTAGTCCCACATATTGTCAAAAAATAATAAATACTGTTGTACAATCAATGAATAACGTTTATATGAAATATCGCGAAAGACATCCCGAATTTAGTGGTGGTGTTTCAGTAGGTGGACACAGCTTAGGTTCACTAATAATGTTTGACCTCTTATGTCATCAGAAACCTATCAAAGAAAGTGAAGAACAGAATATGGTACGATATTTATTTATTATAGTTTTAAATTGAAGTAAAACTTATTGTTTTCTAATCTATACTATAACAGGAAAATCCAGATAGTTTTGGTTCACCAGTATCATTGATACCCCAAAAAGAAATAAGTGCAAAACAAATCAGTTACACAATGGGTCCGGCTGGAACAGGTCAACCCTATATCAATTATGCGCAGCTAATATTCCAACCTAAAAAATTTTTCGCTTTGGGTTCACCAATTGGTGAGTAAATATTTTGTTTGATATAGACTAATTCATAAATTATTTACTTTATTTAAATATTTTCATTTTATTACATTTAGGCATGTTTGTTACTGTACGAGGAATAGATAAATTGGGTTTAGATTTTCGCCTTCCAACTTGTTGCGGTTTTTACAATATTTTCCATCCATTTGATCCAGTAGCTTATCGTATTGAAGCACTGGTAAATCCTGATATGAGTCCTGTGCGGCCAGTATTAATACCTCATCATAAAGGAAGAAAACGTATGCATTTGGAGTTAAAGGAAACAATGACACGCGTTGGAGCTGATTTAAAAGCCCGGTTTCTCGATACATTTAAAACAACTCTTAATAGCGTATATTCACTAGGATTTAAAACTAAAAAAGAGGAAGAAGAAGCAATGGCTAAAGAAGTTGATAAGGTGAACATATTTTATTTATAAAATATTGTTATTTATTTTAATAAATATTATATTAGGTTTTAAAAATGCAATTACAAAAAGAAGAAGACCAACAAGGGCGTGAACATAAATCTCCTAAAGGTGAACCAATGGACCAGGGTTGTCAAGAAAACGAAAGAACTAATGCACATTCCATGAAACGTAGCCGCGTCGATTCTTTTTCTACAATTAGTTCAGATACGGAAACTCCAGATATTGATATACCACTTGGAAAACTAAATGATTCGAAGCGTATAGACTATGTTTTGCAGGAAGCTCCTTTAGAATTCTTTAACGAATATATATTCGCTCTGAGTAGCCATGTTTGCTACTGGTATGTTATGATTTAATTAGATTACAATAATTTTTTTTATAAGCATTTTCTGGTTTTGGATTTTTAGGGAATCTGAAGATACCATACTTTTTATAATGAAGGAAATCTATTCTGGATTAGGAGTAAGTCCAGATAGTCAAGTACCACAGCAAACCATGACAATTGAACGACCAAGTTCACAAAATAGTATATCTCAGTCTATACTATCTCCAATGCAATAAATTGCATTGTAAAAATGTAACCATAGAGGCAAAGAGGCGAATTTATTCTAAATTTTGTGTAATATCTAAAATATATATTTTTTCTCAATTATTAAAAGTTGTACATTTTTTCTTGACTATTTCCCTTATTAAAACTTTAATTAATTGTTTTGTTTTTATTATATATTTAATTCAATTTTATAAAATTTATATATATTATCGAAATAAATGTATCTGCGCAATACATATTGTTTTTTTCACTGTATAAGATTAAAACATTAAGAATAATAAATAGATAAATAATTAATTATCATATAACAAATCTGTATAAATAATGGATATAAGTATTATTCTACGTGGGGAATACTACACACTGCAAGCCATATGATCTATTGCGGTAATCCTAATTGTCTTTGTTTATGCAGATTCTTAGGTTTTTAATGAAATTAAGTAACTTACATGGTTTGTTTTGTTGCATGTGTTACGCGGTAAAACGAGTCTGTTCCCAAGATGAAAAAGTTGCCGCTTTTCAAATTTGGGCATTCACAGATAATGTGTTCAGGCATATCATATCAAAACCGATTTCACAGAAGAGGCATATATTCTGAAAGGTCAATTTTGTAGTCAATTGTATTTTTAGCTGCAGTGTCCTATCTGATACCTTGTAAAAAATTTAGTATTTTTACGAAATGATTCTTATTATGTGTCTAACAATGGATAAAAAAAAACTTTGAACTATGTACAATTATATGTTCCGTAAGAGATCAGTACGCTTTTTATATGTTTTCAGAATCATGAACTCGATCAGATGATAAACAAAAAACAGTTATTCGATTTGTAAGGGTTTAGCATATATGAAGGCTGTGATATATATTGTTCTGGACGGAGTATGTAAAATTTTCATTGAATTATAATATCGCAAAAGGTTCTAGGTGTAAGAATGATAGAAAGATTCCGAAAAAGAAAGATTCTATATTGTATGTTCAACTATATGTTCCGTAAGAGATCAGTACTCTTTTCACATCTTTTCAGAAATCAAGAACTCGGCCAGAGTTTGGTCGAAATCAAGAACTCGACCAGATGATGAACAAAAAACAGTTATCTGAATTGTAAGAGATCAGCGTATACGAAAGCTGTATAAGAATGATAGGAAGATTCCTAAAAAGATGTATTATTATAGTAGCATATAAGCCCTAAAGTAACATAAATTTCAATATTGAAATCATGAGATATTTTGATCTTTGGGAAAATTACAAAAAAAAAAACTTAAAAAAGTATGCTTTTCGTCACAACTTATATAAATAAAAATTAAAAACAATTTAAAAATATTTCTTGTGCACATTACAAATTTTGATAGTAAAAAAAAATTTCCATAGTCCCATTTCTATTGGCAAAATTTACTATCGCAAGTTTCATTATATAGGTATAATCCTAAGTTTGTTTTAAAAGCTAATGTATTTATTATGGGAAATCAAGCTGGAGCTGATGAAAATGCCTCAACTTCTGACGCTGTAAGCTATATTAATAGTTATTAATTAATTCAATGTTTAATTGTAAAACTTATATTTTTGTCAGTCATATAAACCCGCAGTAATACATTGGTTCCTTAAACGTCCTATTGGTAAAGATAACATTTGGACACCATTTTCACGTTACGATTCAGCACTCTTGGAAACTGCGTATGCAGCTAAATCTAGTAAGTTGGTGATAAAAGGATATTTGTGCAATTATTACGTATATTATCAAAGGTCAAAGTATAGAGGCCCGTGAGCACAGTAGATCTATTGTTCACTGTCTTGCTTTTTAAAACTGCATGTTTAGGCTTTTAATAAATTTTGTATAATATTTGCAATCTAAGTAATATATTTTTAACACAGCCGAAATGATATCGGTTGAAGGTGGCCGTTATGATGCTGATATACAGCAACGTAAGAAGGTGCCTGTATATTGGGAGGGTGATCCAATAGAAATTAAGCGTTGTTCTTGGTTCTATAAAATTGATAATTGGAAGATTATACCTTTTGATGAAAGTATTGCTAAAAGACTAGAAGCAGAGTATGAGAAAGCAGTTAATACTGGTGTTTGGCATAAAAAAATATCAATTGAAAGAGGAAAATATGTTATTCTTCATAAACCAACACTAATTGCATATCTTCACCAGAATAGGATTCCTGATCCTTGGGGCGGTGTGACGGTAAGTTATTTTTTAAATTTACTTTCAAATTTGTAATTTTAAGAAATATATTTAAATAAGCAAATAAACACAACCACATATGAGGTAAGGCGTGATTTGAAAGAATTTCAAATAGAGGATGGGGAAACAGAGCGTGTGGATCAACTTTTATTTGTAGTACATGGCATTGGAGTAGATAGCGGACTGACATTACGTACTTTGCAGGAAGTTGGTAAGCAATTATTATTATAATATACAGGTTGTTCTACAAATTCGCCGAATAAAAGTGAGAAAACAAATATTTTCCCATTTTTATAACTCTTTTTAGTTAGTATAATGTTCCTTAACTTTACTACATCTATTCTAATGATGCATCAATTTATGGCACACATCACTGTATTAGCCTTCTAGATGGCTAGTAAAATAGTTCTCTATGATAGCAAAAGTTTGCAATAATAATTTGAAATTATTATTATACCAGTTGGAGGCGAAATAACCGTAACTTTCCTTTAACCTATCAAAAAACTGATCGTAACACTTTTATGACGCCTTACGTTACACGAGTATTATAATATAAATTATGAACGGTTTGTTTAATTACTCAACAATATAAATATTTTTAATTTAAATTTAAGTTGATGAATTTCGGGAGCTGGGACAAAAATTGATACAATCACATTTTAAGACATCATCAAATGCAAATGATATGGGTCGTGTAGAAATTTTACCTATATCATGGCATGGACGTTTGCATTCTGAGGAGTTGGGTATCGACAAGAGGTTAAAAGCAATTACATTAGAATCGATGCCAAAGCTACGAAACTTTGCAAATGAAACATTGCTTGATATTCTCTTTTATACAAGTCCCATATATGGTTATAGAATAAGAAAAGTAGTTGTGGAATCTATGAATAGAATTTATGAGAAATATTGTGCTAGACATCCCAAATTTAATGGTAATATTTCAGTTGCTGGACATAGTTTAGGTGCAGTTATATTATTTGATATAATGTGTAACCAAATACCACATGCAGAAAATGACAATGTAAGTAATATGTTATAGTTGTAAGTGCATTTTTGTAAGTTATATTATTATAATATTAATTGTAGATTGATGCCTCTACATCCAGTTTTAGCATTGATGAGTCACAGCTAAACTTTGAACCACATCATTTCTTTGCTTTAGGATCACCAATCGGTACGTCTATAATTGTACTATTTACCATAGTTATACAATTCACATGCACTTTTAATATTTTAGGCGTATTCCTAACGGTACGTGGTAGAGAAAAACTGGGTTTGAATTTTCAGTTACCTACATGTCAAAACTTTTTTAACATTTTTCATCCCTACGATCCGGTTGCATATCGTATGGAGTCACTTGTTAATCCAAAATTAAGTGCAATATTACCAGTTTTAATACCACATTATAAAGGGCGTATGCGAATGCATTTAGAATTAAAAGAGAAAATGAGGAGGGTGGGTCAAGATTTAAAATCACGTTTTATGAATACTTTTAGAACAACACTAAATAATTTTCCACTATTGGGCGCTAAAATGAGGACGGATTTTATAAATGCAATGAATGAGGAAGCCGAACAGGTAAAGTAGTGAATTTTTATTAATATGCTTCAATATAATATAATACTAGTCTGATTAATAGGCGGTAACAGCTGAATTACAAAATACACCGGAGGAAGAGGAAAGTGGAAATCAACAAAATGGCGAAATTCAATTAAAATCAAGCAACGCAGTTATGGAAACTGATACACAAATTGAACTTTCTCCATCAAATAATGATATTTCATTAGGTCAATTAAACAATAATAATCGTATCGACTATGTATTACAAGAAGGACCCCTGGAATACTTCAATGAGTATATATTTGCCATAAACAGTCATGTGAGTTATTGGTAAGTTCAGTTAATTATTTATTAGTTATATTAAAGTATATAAAATAAAATTATTATATTTTAGGGACTCAAGGGATACAGTATTATTCATTTTAAGGCAAATTTACAAAAATTTAGGACATGATCTGGATATTCAAATTTCTGATGAATCTATGCAATAGACCAATTTACAAAATTTTATAGAACAAAAACTAACTAAACAAACTGAAATAAAACTTATTTTAAGCAATTTCCAAATTAGTTTTTATTTTATACGCTTACATTTAATTTTAATTTACTTGATTTTATAATTTTTATAATGTTTAATTTTTTCTTTCAGTTTGGTTACTATTTTGTATATAATACCGGTTTAAGTTTAGTTTATTGCTATCAATTAAGGCAATATCTGAACTGGTCAAACCGTTTATAACGTTTCCTAAAAGTATTACCTGCAAGTATTATATAAAATAGATTCGTTATCGATCGTTACAATTTGTTTTATATAAACAAATGAATTTAAATTAATTTTTGATATAGTTTCCAGAAAAATTTATTTTTTGAATTCATTTATAAATCATATGTTCTCATATATATTACAAATTGTTTTAAGTAATTCTTATACTTACATTAGTTATATTTTAAATTTAATAATTATTATTTTCCTCTAAAATTACTTTATGGTACCTAATGTACCTTGAGATTCGCCCACCTTTTTCATCACATTTCTGCAAAACAATAGACCATGACGTCTATTATTTTCTCTTTAATATGTAATGAAAATTGTTACATAGAGTAAAACGTAAAGTTGAAGCATTACCATAAAGCTTTAGAATAGATCAACTTCTAAAATCTGAATGAAAGTTAGATAGTCATATCCCATTTTTTATCATTGCTATATATTTATGAAAATTAATATTCATTTGCAACTAATTGAAGATTACTTTAAAAATAGTACAATGATAGTATAATTAAGTTATTTTGCTGATGGAATTAATCAATAAAACTCTTTTGCGTTTTTATGAAAAATATTGACTATAATACTCCTTCTTACTCCTATGTGTTAGTAATAAGCAGTTTTAACATATTCTGAATTTATCAAAGGTTAATGTATTTCTTGTTTATAGTTAATAAGTATTATTTCTGGATAGATAAATCAAAGTGTATACACTGAATAATAAATATTAAAATATTTAATATTGTTTAACTATATTTAAGTAGGTTTTAATATATTTTTAACTTACATCTAATTTAGACCAATTTTGTGGGTCTCCAAAGGAATTACTCTGCTTTGAGAGTTTAGCAAATGCCTCCAGTCGATCGTGGGGACAGTTTTTTAGTTGTCCTATCCATTGAACAGCTTCCCTTTAAAAAATATTTTTTGTAATTTTCTTATTTTTAAATTGTTTATTTTTCGTTGTCACGAAGCCCTATTACTACAATATATTGGTAAAATTCATCCTAATATTGATTGTCAGATAATAATATTTAAGGTTGTTAACTTATTTTAACAGTGTAAAAAAATAGTGTCATCAAATAATATTGTTTCACAAGATCTTACGCCAACACTGCTAGCAATAGTAGTTCTTAATATTTAATACAACACTTACTTAAATGCATCAGCATGTATTGCATCAATATCTGTGGTATTCAAATAGCATATAATTTCACCCATTGCAATTAAATCGTACTCCGAATACGTTTCCGGATTCTTCCCTATCCATTCGTTACGAAGTTTTTGTGCAAGCACTTTTAACTGTTCCTCTTTAAAACCAATTGTAATCAACGTATGTTGTATTGCACCAAATGCTTCCACGGTTTCGAAACGAGCCATTGTCACATTACGCAATTCTTCTGTTGATATTGAAGTTAAAACTTGTCCCAGCTTCTGATAAACGTTGGGTGGTATAAGTTCAATGCTTACAAAATTCTATAAAATATACCAGTTTATCCATATTTATTACTGCTTTTATATATAGATAATTTAAATAAATTTACCAATTTAACTAATCTCCAAATGTTTTCACTTAAATTTTGAGATAATTCTTCATTATTAACTTCATCGACACATGGTTCCATTGCAGCCCACTCTAAAAACTTTACATTTTCGTCACCCAAAATTTCTTTGCAATTAAAAGAAATCACCATTTGGATGTTTACCATAAATGGAAAATAATTTATAAGACAAAAGTATTTCATACCTTTCCGCTTTAAACTTCTTTAACTAACTGATTTTATCATTTCTTTTTCTTCGGTTATTAGACATTTTATTTCATGGCATTAAAGCCTAAAAGTAGGTCACATCAATCAACATTTTGTAATTGATTTTATTTGGAAAATTATTTTTGTAAGAGTTCCTTAAGATAATGAACAATTTACATAAGTTCATGAGTGAAAGTAATTTAAACACCTTAAGTTCCGGTAAAAAATATTATTGTATTTTAGTTACAAATAAGTAATAGCACCATGTATATTTATTTATTATTAAATCTGTGAGAACTTCAGAGATTTATTTATTATTAAATCTGTAAAAACTTCACAAATTTATTTATTTTTAAATCTGTGAGGAGATCATTGTTATCAAGAAAATAACTGATAATAACGTTAAGAGCTCATCAATATTATGGTAATAAGTTTTGACTGGCAGTGGCGGAGCTAGACCAACTCTGCACGTCGGCAAAGCATGATTGAAAGTTTTATTGCTAATCAATTTAAAATAAACACAAATTAAAATAAATGAATTTTCTTACTTTTAGTATCACCCTATTTTTTTTTAAATTATATCATAATGAAGATAGTCTCTCTTGGACCATCATACTTTTCTAGTACGTCTTAAACAATTTTAACTTTGCTTCTTTCTTTTCGTCGAAGCTATACTAACTGGAACTGTGAACATGAATCTGATTACTATATAAATATTAGGGAATACTTCGAATATAGTTAATGCCATTATCAAACCAAATTGCTCAAAATATTTATTAAGTGCTTAGAATCCACAGTCGGTAACTTTTTGCGAAGCCCCTGCGGGCGTGAGACCGTCGGTGGTCGCCGACATCGCTGATGCCTAGCGACTCCACTGTTGACTGGTATTAACCTGTCAAAGTATTCATTTGGGAAAAATCACCGCAAGCCGTAATTTTTATTACATTACGTTCTTACAAACTTATGACATAATTTTCAATTGTGTATATATATAAATATATACCCATTTACAAAAATAATCATTGACTTACCCTGTATAACATCACATATAACTGATATGTGAAAGTTCTGCTGCTACGCTGCTTTAAAACTCGAGCAGAGGCTTTTACGGTTATATTCACCAAACATCATTTAAAATTTTGAATTTTATGTTTGAAAAATATAATATAAATTATATAAATTATTTGCGAAATCTGACAGACTTACTAACACCGCATTATCAAATCTCAGAATGGTTACAGGCTCCTCGGGGAGGTATGCAGATCTGAGGTCAATTATTACTTAGTCTGAAGATGTAATAAATAATAATCCAGTCAAGGCGCAAAGAGGGGTTTTGAAGAAACCTCGCAGTTAATATAGAGTAAAAGTGCTCAGGTGCACTGACTCAACTTCCCTCAACATAATAATAATAATAATAATATATATATTTTTTAATGTTTTTATATAATTAAAATAAAAATGAAAAAAGATTATACATATTTTAAATTCTCTGCATTTAAAATTTCTCACAAATTTCAAAATGGCGTGTAACTTTGTCTTTTCACGTAAATATTAGGTCTGTTCCACGAGCTACTCATAGTAAAACATGAGTAAAACAGAAGTAAAATTTACACAAAAATACTTGAAAATTTGCTGGTGGAACGCGCTTGTGTATACACAGTGTTTACTCAAAGTTACTATGAGTAGCTCGTGGAACAGACCTATTATTTTTGCACATTCCTGTAAAATTTTCAATAATTAAAAGCAACTTATATTTATAGTTAAAATGTGATTAATTGATATTCGCTTTTACACAAATATATTAGATAGTTTATTAAAATTTTAATAGTTTATGTTTAACTTTTTTAATTTGTTTCATTAGCACACACACTTTAACTGATGTATTCTTATTGGAGTCGAACAACTACTAGCAATATTTTTTTGTTTTCGTCTAATTCGGCTTGAATTAATAGGCAGTTTTAGGAAAACTTATGCAAAGCGAATTGATAGCAGCAAAAAGGAATCTGCGTGTAAGTTTAAAACAGAGATCACCAAGGTAGCCTACTTATACATCAATTATTAGGAAAACATGTGCAAGGCGAATTGACTTCAATAGCAACAAATCTGCATATAAGTTTGCAACAGACATTTTAGTTTAATCAGTCGTTTAATTTAAACCTTTGCCATTTTATATCGATACAAATTCTTATCAAAATACATTTTGATGTAATGTTTACACTGTTTAATAATTTTTATAGCTATGTATATTTCCATATATTTAAGGAAGCACTTTCTAATTAAAAAGAAGGTATATTAATTCAAAATTGATCCTTTCTCGCTAGCTAATAATTTTAAAATATTCTATAGGATTAATTATATTCAGTTGCTTATTACTTATTTACTTACTGTTGTTCTCTTCTCCTCGTGGAGCATAGGGCCTCTATCATAGATCTGAACCCAACTCTATTGCTTTAAAAATTTAAAAAATAAAGATATCTTAATTCATGATAAGTAAACTCTTTATTTGAATTATTTATAAATTAATGTTTTCATTATATAATATAATTTTACTATAATTTACTAAAATCTAAGTAAATTAACATAGCACATGTAAAGAATCTCTTATGAACGAATTATCCTACACAACCGTTCTGTATTTTGGCTATTGAATAAATTTACTCCATTTGAATTTGAGAAAGTCAAATAGGCAATTTGAATGACATTATCATTCTTTTGATTTTATTTTGATTATTTGCACTAATTTATTCCTTTCAAACTTATCTATGAAATTTTTAAAAACATCTAAAGAATTATTTAAAAAAAAAAGAAATTAGCCCCTTTTTCTCGTGCGTTAATGAAGATCGCTAAAGAACAATATAATGATACGCTCTACAGATCTTTTTGATTAACTAAATTTAACTTATAAAATTATTAAATAATAAATAACTAAAAACTTAAGCTAAACGATAAAATTATGGTTTGTGTTTGTATCTTAAAATTAAACTCATTTGTCTACAGATTAGTGTTCTTAACGTTAGGGCTCTCACTATGCCAGCAGCGAGCTATTAAAATTTATCATCTACAAGATCACCAATGCCATCGACACTGATATTCAGTGATAACGATTTATCAAGCACCAATAACGGTGGAGACTTCGATGAGTCTAACGACGATAGTCCAAATGATGGCATATCAAGGCTGAGTGAGTGCGTATGATGTTGCAGTGATTCCTGAAGCAATTGTGATGTATGGTGATGATGGTCGTCTTGTTGCAAATGTGTGTTATCATTGTGAGATAATAAAGTTTGTTGTAAGCTATCATGCGGATGCTGGTGTTGTTGACCAGTATCAAATGAGGTCATGTGTTGTTGTTGCATATGGCTAGGCTTGTCATCCAAAATTAAAGCATGATCTAAATTTAATATACACTCCGCTTTGAAGTTATCAATTGTAAATTGATCGACATTCAAAAATTTCATTTCATCATATGTGGAGTTCGTAGTTGTATCCAAGTCTAGTGACGGATGTAAACTTGTATTGACGAGATTATGATGTGATTGTTGGTTATGTGCATGTTGATTGTGTATATGATCATTGTTGTGAGATATAGAAGCTAGTACAGATGGTGGCGGTGATTGTGATACATTTGGCATTGATATGGATGCTGACAGCGTACCGACCGGTGGATATGTTGACCATTCCATTGATAGACCACCACCACGTTCTAAGCCCATATGATCGATGTTAAGGTTGAGGAAAATATTAGGTGACATACGTGTCGGTGTTATAACGCCAGTACCAAAAGGTGGTTTTGGCTCATTATCCAATGAATTGGCAGATTGTGGTGGTGTGTCGGGCAGCAAAGTATTACCTAAATAGTTTTTATATAAATAAATAATTAATTTAATTTATTTAATAATCAATTGTGGGAAGCAGCAGAAGGCTAACTCACCTAATGGATTGTCTAGCTGACCCATTTGTACATTCTCATCATACGCCTGCGCATTGATATCATCCAAATCTTTTACACACACTTTTTCTTGTTTACGCCATTTCGCACGTCTGTTTTGAAACCAGACTTGTACACGAGCTTCAGTTAAATCAATTCGTACCGCCAATTCTTCACGAAAAAAGACATCAGGGTAATGTGTACGTTGAAACGCACGCTCCAGCTCTTGCAACTGCAGGTTATTAAAAGTAGTTCTGAAATCAAATTATATTATTTTTCATATAGAATTATTTCATTATTTCAATAATTTCAAACGGACTTTTTCAAATAACAAAGGGAAATGGATTGTTTGAATAAATTTTAGAAATTAAAGGCTAAAATAGTCTTGGTCTTGTGAATAACATTAATTTCATTAACTATTTTAGAAATTATAGGCTAAAATGGTCTTGGTCTTGTGAATAACATTAATTTCAATACTACAACTAATGATTAGAATGATTAATTTTAAATTAATTATGAAATAGAAAAAAAATTAATATTAGTAATCATTCTTTTTGGTTCCCATGAATTATATCTCGATTCCTTCTAAATTTTTTTGTTTTTTTTCTTAATTTTTCTTCTTCTATGTATAAATGATTAAAATTGCGTTCATTTTGTCTGTAGATCCAAGATCATTAAGAAAATTTTTTCCTCCAAATTTTTAGTAAAAAGTGAGTAAACAAAAAGTAAAAGCAGAAAACTATACATTCTTCATGTTTGATTTTAGATTTCTTCTTGACTTGTGACTAGAGTATTTTATTCGATCGAGTCACGAGTACATTGTAAGTTTTAACATTTCCTTAATTTATAAACATGATCAACCTTTTTTTTTGACTAGAGAAATATTGTTTAAGTGATAGATTAAAACCTGAAAGTGACGTTAGTGTCAATGGACTCAAATTTAATTTAGCCGTTCCACAGTGTTTTAGGCAGAGTTGTCTGCTATTGATATCTGTTCAAGAATATTTCAAAAGACGATTCGAAAACACTACTGACGAAACATCTGCATTATAATATATTCGGAAATATATTCGGAAGCTGCAAAATCTCAATTCTGAGTTCGTTAGTATGACAAAGCAATATAAGTATATTTTCTGTATACTTATACTTTCTGTATACTTATACAAACAAAATCTTCTTTATAAAACACGATTTTTTCTTTGGAATATCTATAATATATGCCAGCTACCATTAGCTTATGTGGAAGAACAAAAAAAATAAGTTTGTTAGTTCATATTTCAACTTATATTAACTATTGGTTTTTTATTAGATGCACTCCTAAAAAATGCCATTTTTAAAATAAGTTAGTACAGATGAAACAATGCACCAATGCTATTAGTTTGTATTCTGGGTTTGTCTGATAATAAGTACAGTACACTATCCGCAATTTATAAAATCAGGGGAGGATTTACAATAAGACCAGCTAAAGTAACACAACAACAACGATGACAGATGAAAACATGTGGACATTTCTCAGTTTCGTAGTCTGCACGATCTCTTGATGAAATACCAAATCGGTTATCTCAGAAACCTTTCACCGAACTACATTAGGTGGGAAGTTTTGAAACAAGGGTTTAGCTTTAATTTATCTACGTTAGCTTATGAGACTTTCTATAAGAATTGCTTATTACATTAAGACCGAAAAGTTTTCGGAAATTCTCATTTAAAATTCGCGCGCTGTATATTTTTCGATATTTTAAGTTTATGTAGTTTGGCAGCAATTAAGGACAATTACTATGCAAAAAATGAGCGCGATCTGTCAGACAGTTCGTTTACGGCAGCTGTTGAAACCAGTTCACCTCAGTAGTGCGTTGCGAAAAAAACAATGGAAAAAAAATTTGAACAAAGAGTTTGCATCAAATTTTGTGTTTCGAACGAAATTTCGTGTGCAGAATCGTTGCGAATGCTACAAAAGGCTTATGGGGAATCAGTTTTATCGAAAACTCAAGTTTATGAGTGGTACAAAGCCTTTCAGGACGGTCGTACGACCGTCGAAGACATTTCGCAACGCACTACTGAGGTGAACTGGTTTCAACAGCTGCCGTAAACGAACTGTCTGACAGATCGCGCTCATTTTTGGCATAGTAATTAAGGACAGTGCTGCCAAACTACATAAACTTAAAATATCGAAAAATATACAGCGCGCGAATTTTAAATGAGAATTTCCGAAAACTTTTCAGTCTTAATGTAGATTTAATGGGTGTGTATTAATAATTATATTTGTAACTTTATTTGTACTTTATTTAGATATACAGAACAGGTCTCTTGTTTTATGGTTACCATAATATTTAGTATAATTTACGATTTTTTTAAACTAAGATATTTCTAAATTCTGTATTAAAACATATTTTGAATTCCCTTCACTTAAGTGCGTGATAGTTACACTTAGAAGTGATGACAGTTTTACACATTATAAAAAGTGTGAAACTAAGTATAGATGAAAAAATACTCATATATACATATAGGCATAAGTGGAAAACTTATAAACAAATAATTCTTTAGTCATTATACATTGTGACCGAAAATTTTCCGGAAATTTTAAATAAAACGCAAAATTCTTAATCTTCATCAATATTTATTTTATCTCCTTCAAAATATGCTCCATTAGAAGCGATACACAAATGCCAACGTTTCTTCCAATCATCAAAACATTTTTTATAGGCGCTTTCCGGTATGGCTTTGAGTTTCCTCTGCGAATTCTGTTTTACGTCTTCTATGGATTCAAAACGCGTTCCTCTGAGTGGTAATTTGAGTTTGGGAAACAGGAAAAAGTCACACGGTGCAAGATCAGGTGAATACGGGGGCTGTTCGATGGTATTTATTGAATGTTTGGCCTTAAAATCGTTGATAATGTTGGCTCGGTGCGAGGGAGCATTATCGTCATGAAAAATCCATGAATTATCCTTCCACAATTGAGGCCGTTTACGGCGGATATTTTCACGCAAACGTCTTAAAACAGTCAAATAATAGGCTTTATTGACTGTTTGTCCTTCAGGGACGAATTCATGATGCACCACACCACGAATATCGAAGAAAACAATCAGCATTGCCTTGATTTTCGAGCGACTTTGGCGTGGTTTTTTCGGTTTCGGCTCGTCTTTTCCTCTCCATTCCGATGATTGTTGGCTTGTTTGCATGTCGTACTCGTAGACCCATGTCTCGTCACCCGTTATGATGCGTTCCATGAAAGTTGGATCGGAATTGGCACGATCAAGCATGTCTAACGAGACCTGTCCACGATGGTGTTTTTGGAACAAATTGAGGTGAATCGGAAAAAGCCGAGCGTTGACACGTCGCATACACAAATTGTCCACCAAAATCAAACGAGCCATCTCACGACCGATGCCTAGCTCTCGTGCTATCTCTCTAACACTCACATGAGGATTTTTGAACACGATTTCCTTTGCCTTTTCAATGTTTTCGTCGGTGGTAGAGGTCGAAGGTCGTCCAGAACGCGGCATGTCTTCGACGGTCGTACGACAGTCCTGAAAGGCTTTGTACCACTCATAAACTTGAGTTTTCGATAAAACTGATTCCCCATAAGCCTTTTGTAGCATTCGCAACGATTCTGCACACGAAAATTCGTTCGAAACACAAAATTTGATGCAAACTCTTTGATCAATATTTTTTTCCATTGTTTTTTTCGCAACGCACTACTGAGGTGAACTGGTTTCAACAGCTGCCGTAAACGAACTGTCTGACAGATCGCGCTCATTTTTGGCATAGTAATTAAGGACAGTGCTGCCAAACTACATAAACTTAAAATATCGAAAAATATACAGCGCGCGAATTTTAAATGAGAATTTCCGAAAACTTTTCGGTCACAATGTATATGTTTTAATGTATATACTAATATAATGTTTTTTGCTTTAGAATTTACATATTATGTTTGTGTATATATGTAGTTCAACAAACTTATTTATACCAATATAGTATTTATGTACATTTGGATGTAATTGCTAATCCTGCACAATTCAAAAGAAAATAGTATATGAAGACCTGAAAAGTGTAAAATCGAAAAAGTGTCACAAAGTGTCATTTTCCATGCGTTTACAAATGTACATGAGACTGGGAATTACACTAAATATACATATATACATATGTGTATATATAAATAAAATATCTCTCTTTCTGTATAATATACACAACTAAGTTTATTGTTATTGCATGTAGTTAATATCTATGTAATGATGTAATTTTACGGTTTTATGTAAGTTTGAATTCTACTCGCAAATATCGATTGGTTCTGACTTGGTCTGACGCATATACTCGTAACCGTATAGCGTGAGTAAATTTTGTTTATTTGCATTTTTAGCCAATAGATATAAACTATCTTTTGCTGACAGAATATGTTTTGTTTTCTTATCATACGAATATAAATTGTCAAAACCTATAGATAATATATATAATCAGACCAATTAAAATAGGGATTAATTCATTGACTCATTGAATATTAGACCATTAAGAACTTTTATTTTACTTATTTTGATATTAATTTTTTTAATTTCTGTTAAAATTGAAGAAATTTAGACAAGAAATATATATATACATTAACATTGTGTACATTTCCAATAAAAAAAAATATTAAAGAATTAGATTTGACTTAGAAAAACTTTTTTTTTCTAAATAATTTTTACAGGAAATCTGATATTTAGGCCAATGAATAACGACCGTTCTTTCCATAACTTTTATTTATGGGGAAGTTTTACAGAAAGGGAGAAAAAAATATTACGAGTGAAGAAGACATCAAAAAAGAAGAATTAAAAAGAGAAGGGAATAATAATACAAAAACTAATGAAAACAGTTAGCTTTGGCTTTAAGAAAACATAAAAAAGTTTTTCGTATTTGAAATGCAAGTTAATATTTTATATTCATATTAAATAAATTTGATTAATATAGTTTTTAGGAAGGACGATTGGTTCAAGTCATGGTGATCAGAACCCACAATTTTAGCAGGACGTATTTTGACAAGTAGTCTCGTGTCTGGGCGTTTCAAAAATACTGTCCTGATATTTTAGATTTTAATTTGTTATCTACTGTTTTTAATATACTTGAACTTATGTGGTTTAGTAATTTTGAAAATATTTGACACTATTTAAATTCTTGTACAGTTAATACATTATTTTTCAAAGACTTTGGAAGCAAAAAAAAAACAAACAAACATGGCCTTTCGTATAAATAACGAAGAATTACAACTCTGTCTCTAAAATATGAAATTGTCTGGATTATATCTGAAATTCTGTTATTGTTTAGATAAATTATTATGGTATATAAGTTAGGAAATAGTTGAAGGTGTCTAAAATTGTTATCGCCCTTTAGGCAAAATAAATCTAGTTTAAGCAAAATATTCGCAGATATAGTACACTTTTCACATCTCTATATCTTTAAATTAAAACTACAGCTATGATAAAGCAATTTTAACGTAGGATTATACTTGTATATTACGCTACGAGTTACTTCTCTGACTATTTTACTCTCTAGATCAGGGCTCTTGAAACTACTACATTTCAGCAGAAAAGAAGGAAATGTCAAAGCAAATAAATGTGTTTCAAATAAAGAAATTATTACTTAAACAAAGCTCTAAGACAAATCTTGGGTTTGGAGAGTGCAGACCCGCCGTATTCCCCAGATCTGGGGTCTTGTAACTACTACGTGTTAACAGAAAATAAGGAAATGTTCAAGGAAGTAAGTTTGGACAAATCAAAATCAGATCAATAAAAAAGTCACCGAAAAATTAGAAGAGCTTTGGAATGAATGTATGTTTTTAAATGAGACAAATAAAATCGGGTTATCAAAAAAATTTTGTTTATTAGTTTGACTTGGTGAGTGATGTTTCATAATATTCTACAATTTGTTTTTAATTAAGAACTAATATTTGTTCTGTTACCAGAAATCTATTTCGAATATAAAAGAGACCAATAGATGTTTTCAAAGACAATTAAAAATGGATAGTTGGCGTTATTCGCAACAGCTGTAAGGTCAGACCAATAAATTACTTTATTAAAACTTAAAAAAAAAATAAGCAGATCTTTGATACTAAGTTAATTTATAAATATGTAGTAAAGAAATGCAAAAATGATTAAATTTATATATATACTAGGATTATCAATTTTATACGGATTAGTCAATAGCATACTTCAAAGCTGACATTCTAACTGAAATAGTTGTAAAAAAATTTATGGACATATAAAACGCCGACGGTTAGGAAAGCTTTGGTGCTTTCGTGGATACCGGTGCCTAAGAGTACCGGTTTATATTTCTCTTGATATCGTTAAGAATAATAATCACCTTTTTTTCAATACTAACATATATGTTTGTCAATACTAAATGGAAGACACTTAGATCATGTATAATTTCTTGAATAATCTGACCATTATCTTGTTATGTTCAGATCTTTGGAACTCATTAAAAGGGATCGGGTGAATACTGCAAGATTGCAGTTTTCTCTAGTTATTTATGTATAAAAATGCAAAAATACTGCGCATTTCTTTTATTATTCACTGTAAAAGTGATGGAAAATTATAGGAAAAAGAAACAATTAAGCATTTTCTCTCTGACTGACCAGTTTTGGCTTCCAGGAGGAACAGATTTTTAGAAAAGTATTTTTTTGATAGATTGTCAAACTGCTCATTTTTAAGAATGATAGATCTTTTAAATTACATAAAATCAACTGGATGAATTCATTTTTTTATCTCTGCAGGTTTCTTGCAAGGAATGTCGTAGTTATACGGCGAATCATTGCTAATTTTGAGCAGTAGAACATATATGCTGAACTCCTATTGCAAACAACTATTCAAGTAGTGAAAGATTTCAACATTGTTACATGGTATATCTAAGAGCCATGTAATTAAAAATTGTAGATGACTTGTAGACTATATCATATCAATGCGGTTGTTTATTCTTTAGCGAACAGAAATATGAATAGAACTTAAAACAGGAAAGTCCTAGATATTTGGAACTTGTTTTAACAATGGAACGAAAGTGGAGTCTTCGGGAAATAAATAAATTCCATTTTTGCTGAGTTGAAAAACTGTTGATGCTATGCTGTAAAATTACCTAAAGGCGAAGATATCACTATTTACACCATATTAGTAATATTAGTTGTACTAGCAATATTATTATATTACTAATATTATTTATCTTGGGAACTATTTCGATATTATTTTAGAAATAAATAGTTGGCAACTTGAAGAATATTATTTGAGAGATTTGTTTTAATTGTGAAGTCCTTTATTATTTTAGGTACCAGAAATGGGATCGCATTAAAATAAAACTTTTAAAGAATAATAGTGTTTATAGTTCGTACCTGTATCTCCTTTGTTTTCTCTTCATTGAGCTTAAGATTGCAGTTTTTTCCATGCAATATTTTTTATCGATTTTCGTAAATTCTGTTTTTAAAAATTCTTTTTTAAATTTTAATCATTTGTTGGCAGCCTTAATATAATTTTTATTTAAATATAATTTTTATATATATTTAAAAATTTTTTTTTCATTTATCATGTATCATTTATTTATTTTGTGTTTTGAAACGTAGTGAAAGTATTTCGTTCTAACACTAGACTTGAGCACATCATAAATTTTTTTACTAAACACTATATGGTATTTTTAAAGGAATAAAAAAATTTTTATTAATTTTTCCGGGTTTTGACGAACTTTTTTGAAAACTATTAAATTATCTTTTTTTTTTAACTACAAGATTTATATTCCCTTTTAATGAGGATTTTTATGTGCATACTAATAAGTGCGAGTTTATTCCAATATTTCATCAATGAAGGCTCCAACTAGACTAATTTAGGGGATAGTGTTTGTATATTTTGAACTTTGGAAGTTCATAGAGGAAGCCGTACAACTAATTCTGTTTTACATTCAGTTTTTCTTTAAACATTTGCTTTTAGTTTTTTATTTCAATATAGTTTTCCGTTTTAGTTTTCTATTAAAGCGAATGTATTTAAAAATGTTTTATTTTCCGTAAATTTTTTTTTACTGTTTCTCATCATTTCCCAATGGCTACCTTCTTCTTATGCGTTAACATTTGCCCGTCTTTTCATGTAATAATATATATTATATGCTTTATATTTTTATTTAAAATTGTTATTTGTTTTTTATTTTTAGCAGGATTAGTGTTTGCAAAGCTTTAATATTTCATTGGTTTTTTGTTACTTAAATATTGTGTATGCTCCTTAGATCACGAGCGATTTAAGAACTAAGAACATAAAACGACTTACATCCAAAATTGCTGACATATATAAATAAGTGTACTAGCATTGCCCTGTACGCTTAGTTACATTTAAAATAAAAATTTTTGTCAAAAGTATTTAAAAAAAATTATATTTCTGACAATTTGATTGAATTGTGCGTGTACATATTTGATGAAGTATTTCAGATACAAGCGCTTCTTCACGTATTGACGATTGTGCTTTACGTATTGACGAAGCACAATCCTATCAATCAATCTTTTGCATACCATCTGGAATTCTTAATGGAATGATAGAGCTGTTTTGATCTAGCTGTTTTGATTTTTTTATTACGGATGCTAATTTGCGAGACTTTTTGTAATCCCAGTATTTTAAGGATTCCTGAATTTAATCTTGGGATACCTGAGATCAGTGTCGGAATGGATCAAATTCAATCATGTATAAAGATGATGAAAAAATAATTTGGTTTATATAATTCACTTAATTTTACTTTACTATATTATGTTATTTCTTTATAACAATAAACATAGTAATCTATATAGCGTGGATAACTCCAGTCGGGACCGAAAACTGTTACACTGGTATCTGCAAAAGGTTAAAACCAGTTCACTTTAACACTAGTAGGTCGTAAAGCTGGAATTTTGCCATCAACATAAATATTTAAAATCAAATAGCAATTAAAATTTAATATTATACATATATATCCTTTTTTGGTCGTCAAGTGATTGATATAGTTTTCCAAAAACTTTAATTATCGATTTAAATTCTAAGAAGCAAATGATAATATTGTAAATGACAAAAATGATTGTGTAAATCTACCAATAGCGGGACTTCTAAAACACAAACAAGGCCAAAAGTCCTTAATGTTAGGATTCTGGAATTTATATTTCTAACCGGTACCAATACGAGTATTTCTCTGAACAAAAGCATAGAAGTAGAAAAATGTAATATTTTACGAACTGGTGGTGTAAATGTTCACAAAACGGCATCTGAGAAACATTGGTCTAAACAAACCAGTTTGTTTTTTCTGATTGATACACATGCTTGGAAAAATCGCAATACTATATACGTATTTAGTAAGTACTGTGCAACAGTTAAGCTGTTGGATAAATTGTATCTAAGTTTAATGTATTATAAACTCAATATCAGGAATATCGGTACCTTCCTTATTCCTCTTTTTTTTAATTGTTTCACTTATTGCAGAAGCACATTCTCATCGCTATATTTTAACTAATTATCCCTTAGAAGTTTTAGTTGAATTTGTTAACTTCATTTAAATAACTAACAAGGATTTTTATAATTGACCCAGATGTTTGAGAAAGTTGCAATGCTATTGCACATCAACCCATATGCAATCACGAAGCTGCTAGGTAAGGTTGGGTTGGAGTGGCGATCTTGTACTCTAAGCCTACTTTAGCTTAAATAATGGCCAATTATGATACCACGTGTTATGGCAACAGGATTATGGTGTCCTGCATACGAACAACGCCGAAATGCACGACTCTCCCATACAAAGCTGTTAACTTAGGACTCAAATAAGTTCTATGTTTTATAAACTCGATGTACCTAATCAGGAATAATAGCACGTAACTATTTTTCAACATAGTAATGTATAACCAATGTTGAATCATGAAAAACGATGTGACTTTCGGAATTTATAATCGCAATTACTGTTTAGTAATATTAGCAAGGCTTGTGTGGTTTTTAATTTAAAAGGGTATTATTTTTTTTGATAGTTTAACAATATAATACAAAAAAAATTTAACTTATTTATGTATAATATTTATGTATTGCATGCATAAAAGATATATTAACTTTTCCAGATACAAAAATAAAATACAACATAATATATATATAAATAAATGTTTTTCCCATCATTCATTCAGAGACACATAAGAACTACATAAGATTTAAAAAAAATTTCCTGTTTTGGTTGCACATGTAAGTCAATCAGCTATGTACCACCACCATATCCATTAGATACTTTGTTAGAGTATCTATTGTTCTGTTAATAAAAATAAATTTTCATTGTGCAGCCATATATAAACTCTATTAATGCTTCCACATTTCTAAAGATGTTTGTTGGTCAAACAGGTGACAGCAATTATTATTAGCATAGAGAAATCTTAAGGTAATTTGATATTTAAGATTTAATATGAAAAGTAGACGCTGTTTTTAGCACAGGTGACAATACAATATTACAATAACAGTACTAGTACTTATGCACTCCAGGGATCATATAAAAGTCCTTGGCATTGATGCTGATTCGGTTAGAAGAGCTTTGACTGAGTTGGCGTACAGAACGCGACTACGTCATGCCATGGGTAATATAATTTATATAAAACACAAAAAATATTTCTTTTATGTTAATTTTATTTATTACTTATTAGTTATTAATTTAAAAATTCTATATTTATATTTGCACAGACACCTTTGGTAATAATTACTGTGCTCTTTGGCGCTATTTACGGCAGTCGGTTTATGGATAATATATTACATCGACCTTATGTGGCGTTGAAAAGTTCATATTCTGAGCCTGTATCTAATGATGGATCCAAAAGTTTAAAAAATTATGAGAAAACACCCAAAACATTAGCTTTTGGATTAGATACAAGTGCAGAAATACCATGTCATCATTTTAGTGGGTTGGAAAATAATTTTGTGAAAATATTTTATTCAAATGAAATTAATGAATGTGGACAAAGTTTTGAAAATATTGATCGGAAAAATTATAATGGTGATCTAAAGCAGAAAAGGTAAATCTTACAATTTTTTTTAGTAAATTTTATATTAACTATTTGAAGAGTGCAAAAATTAAACTTTTAACTAATTGTGGATGTGCTGGGGTCCACCAATATATTTCATTAAATTCTTTTTCTTTGCCAACAACTTCTCGAGGTGTGTCATGCTTTTAAAGCTGTTTCCAAACTTAGTTTGTTGAAACCTGAATTATGTGTACCGTTTAGATGTAAGTTTAGCGTTTTCTAAGTCTCTGACGGCTCCTACTTTTTGTTAACATGTTGTTGTAATTGTAACACAACAACTGCAATAATAACATAAATAAATTTCATTTATGTATTCGCTCTATTGAGATTTCGAAATTCTTTTATCTAATCTCAAGGTATATACCATATAAAATTCCTATTCATTCCTGTCATTCACTTCTATTTTATTCTCTGGCTCTTTCGCCATCCTATCCTATTGTGCAAATCTTGTCATCATTATCCAGATTTTAATTGTGCAGAGACAGTTCTTGATGCATGTACAAGATCGCTGAAGATATCAAGCGGAGGTCTATTTTGAATTTGTTTGTGGTCTAACCATTGTTTTGAATAAGATATGCTTCAGAATGGAAGGTAGAACGCTTTTATTATTATTTCAATGTATATAACAGTAATATGGAACTTAAATTCTTATAGAATTAAATATAGTTTTCATTTTAATCAAAACCCTCGAAACCGAAACAGACATTTTTAAAAATGTAGATTTCTAATAATAATGACAAAGATTATATTGTTGAATTTGAGATCATTATCATAATAAATTTGTGCAAATTAAACTAATAAAACTACTTTCTCCAATAAACAAGACCTTTCCATGAAGAATTAAAACGTAATAATTTGTAAAAATCACGTCTAAAATAGTTAAGGACTTATAGTTGTGTTCAAAATGATAATGATTCTAAACTAAGTAGTAAGTTGCATTATCTCTATTTATATTTAAATAAATTTTTTGAAGTTACTCTTCCATAACATTATAATTTTTAAGGAAATAATAAATTTTATTGTATAATTTAATTAAATATTATGTATTATTTGTAGGTACTATATAAATAATAATATAGACATTAAGGATCTTCCTTCAAATGATGTTTCGGGAATATTTAATGAAGTATCAGCTTTGCATACTGTTTCAACTAAATCAGTTGAATCAGATGCCTTAAACAAAGATACAGAATCACTTTCTCCATATATGGAAAGTAGTTCTATATCAAATTTACCAGTTTCTTACTATTCCGATTTCTATGAAGATTTAATACCATTGGAAACTAGCTTAGAGAAAGGAGAATTTAAGCGATCTGGACCTCCTAATAATGTTGCTTGTGACTGTAAAATAAAGGTAAAGATGGATTTACTTTAGTAAAATATTTTTTAAAATATTTTTTATTAAATGTTTTAGAATAATTTAGTAGATTTAGGATTGCAACATTATCCACGTTATTTACTTAATGCAGTTTGTCAAACAGATCAATCCCCAAGTGAATATCCACCAAAATGTTTGCGTGGCTCCTTTTGTAAGCCATTGGAATATAAAGTCAAAGTGCTTTCATTTCATCCAGTTATAAATCATGTAAAAAATGATCCAACTTTAGAGTGGCTTTCTGAGGATTCACAATTTTGGAAATTTGAAACAGTTACTGTTGCTGCTGGCTGCTTTTGTGCTTATTGAATGTGTTAAAAATATATGGATAAATTGAAAAATAAAAAAAAAAAATGAAATAAAAGAAAGTAAAAAAATAAAATAAAATAAAATAAATAAAATAAAAATAAAAAATAATTAAAATAAAAAAAGAATTAAATATATATTATATTTAAATATAAATATAATATTCCTTTATATATATATATATAGATATAATATAATAATATATAGATATAAATATGAATACAAATAATATATAAATATAATATATATTTAATTCTTTTTTTTATTTTAATTATTTTTTATTTATTTATTTTATTTTTTTATTTATTATATTTATTATATATATATATATTTATATATATATGTATATAATATAATATATATAAAGATAATATGTGTTGTATATAAAAATCAGATATATAAAAATAATATGCATAAAAAATAAATAAATATAAAAAATAATATTACAAAAAACGAAAATAACAATAAAAATATATAAAGTTTAGATAAAAGAATATATGAAATACTTAAACAATAAAAATATTTATAGTAAAGCATACAGCAAAATGTAGAAAAAAATTGTGTAATAAACAAATGCATTTTGCAAATTTATTTAGTTTCATTATTTAATTAAAATTGAATAAGATTTCCTTACAACCCACTTAACCGATGAAGTTGATTTTTTGCATATCTTAAGTTTAATATTTAAAATTTATATTAAGCTAGACTGGGTATTTATCAAAAAATTCAAAACAAAATTTAGTGATAAGTTATGGATATAGGAAACAAGGTGTGAAAACGTTTCTGAGAGCTTCTTTTTCATTAAAAAAATAATTTTCTCATTAGCAAATATAGATTATCAATTTTTTAGTTAGACCGCTAATTTATATCCCTCTAGGTTATCTATAGTTACATATACATATATTTATTTTAAGAATCTGTATCACTCCTCTATAGGACTCCTCTATAATACAGTCGTTGTGACCAGTAAAACGATTCGTTACAAAGAAACTAAAAAAAAATTTCTATATATATTACTACATATAAAAAAAAATATAAAAATCGAAATCTTAAAAAAACTTTCATAACAGAGAAGTTTTCATTATAGGGGAGTCCGCCTGTATTTAAATAATGTGAAACAAACCTTGTTACCTCTAGATTCAGTGGGAGAAAATCTACTATTGGTTGGTTTCAGTGGTTTATTTCTTCGTCAGTGTCGTTAACTACACACCCTGAGATAACATTCTTGAAATTGGTATTTCTATTTGAATGAATAACCTATCCGACATCTTGATTTTAGCGATTTATGTTATTACCTTCTGCTCAAAAAGTACTCGGATTTTGTAAATAAAACATACAAATTTAAATTTTATTCCAAATTTATTTTATCTCCTTCAAAATATGCTCCTTCTGAAGCGATACATATTTGCCAACGCTTAACCAATCTTCCACACACCTTTCATAGGCCCGTGAAGGTATGGCTTTTAGTTCCTTCAGCGAATTCTCTTTTACCGATTCAATCGACTTAAAACGCTTAACACGAAGGGGCAATTTGAGTTTCGGGAACAGAAAAAAATCGCACGGATCCAGATCTGGCGAATATGGTGCCTGAGCGATGTCAGTAATGTAGTGTTTGGTCAAAATATCGCATACAACAAGAATTTTCCATAGTAAAAATCACTAAATGCACTTGAGGTAGTCTCACATTAACAGCTGCTGTAAACAAATTAATTGACAGATGGCGCCCAAATTTGTACCATATGTCAAGAAAGGGTGTACCAACATAGCAAAATTTTTGAAAAAGGTCTATTACTTAAGGAGTAGTTAACAAACAATCCGGCTACTTTTTGAGCAGAAGGTATATAGGAAGTGTTGTATTTTCATTCTCTTGTTCTCAGCAGTTTCTGCAATTCTGGATAAAGACTTTTTATGGTATTATTAGTACAATGGAATTTATGCCGTACAAATTGAATATAGTTGTTACTATAATAGAGAAGTTGGGTTGGATGGAAACTAATTGGTTGTCTAAAAAAACGAGTGACTCATAATGTGTGGTTAGCTAAAGACTTTATGCTGAACACTGTTTAAACGTGGTTTCAAATATTCACGACTGAAAAAATTGTAAAGCCCAAATTTTCTCCGACCTATATGTTATAGATAAATAAATAATATAAAAAAAAATTTTATTTTGTTAAATCATTTCATTTTATCTTAAAAAATTAACTTACATTAATTATTCAAAGCTACAAGTAGTCTATAATTTCATTTAATATTAATTTAAAATGTTAATGAGTTTTATATTAATTTGTGCAATTTACTTATTGTATATATGCAAAATGTAAAACTAAAATTAAAATATTTTACGTTTTTATACAATTATATTATTTAGCTTCTAATAGCCTTTTAATGTTGACAAAATTAATTATTAATTTAATGATATATAAATAACTATATATCTAGTATATACTATTTTGTTAATTTTTACAAGAATTTGGTAGAAACATATTTCTTTATACAAACATATTAAATGAATAATAATGCTAATCACATTTAGTTGGCTAACAAAAATTAAAATTTCTTTAAAAAACGTTTTTTGGCTAACAAAACTTAACAATAATTATTGTTGTAATATATTTTATACAATAGTCCAATAATGTAGAAAGAATAATGTTTCTTATGCTGAAATTGGCAAGTCTTTTTCGGTGTCAGGAGTCAGTTCAGTTTTACTTGGAATAGTTCGATCAGCATCGCCGCCATCAATATTATCGACAATTTCCGATAAACGTGATTCTGATGGAGTAGGTGGTGTACTACGTGACTTATGTGGAAGTGTTTTAAGTGGTAATGACAAATCCACTTCAATATCTGAATCCATTTCATTTTCTGATAATGATAGTGAAGTGCCAGTGCGTTTCATTTTATACTGATGTGAACTCTGAAGTAGAAAATAATTTTTAGGAAAAATATTATAAAAATGAAATAAAACAATAACTTACTCTCTTGTATGTTGAGGGCTCAGATATATAACCATCGAAGTCTTCATCTTCACTAAACATATATGGATTCTGATGGCTTCTATCTACATAAGTTTCTGGCAATTTACAAACAATTTGCGCTAAATCAATAAATGAGTATTCACTAAGCGAGGAATGATAGTGCTTTTTAGGTGGTTCTTTGCTAAACCATTGATTAAAACGACCTAAGCGTCCGGCTTTTTCCATAATCTCAAAATAATTTTTCCCATGCACGTAACCAACATCACGTATCTCGTCGAAACTGCCAAAAGCTAATGTCTTATATTTATCGATTGGTGGGCGTATATATTCGCAATATTCCGAACTTTTTACTTCCTATGAAAAAATTTATTAACAATAATTAGTTTAATAAGTAAAAATAAGAATACAAAATTATTTATAATATACCTCCAATTGTCGTACACACGATACATATGCTAAACGTGATTGAATATCAGGTAAATCAGGTACTTTAACAGGTGTTGTGAAAGGATTCCATTTTTTGTATAACAACCACCAACCCGATAAATCATCCCCGTAATTAGTTAGATCGGTTTCGTCTTGGGAACCTACATCTATTGCTATTATGTGAGCAGCACCTAGATTATGCATTACATCCGCTAATACGAAAAAATTTTAGTTTTTATATTTGAAATCAGTATTTCATAAAAGTATTTTATATATGCATATCTATTATATTGACATATGTATAAGTATATACAGATGTAAAAATTGGCATATTGCAGTTAGTTGGAACCAAAAGTACATGCCGTAACGATATCCGAAGTTCGTAACTATTATTATATATACCCACATAAAATATATACCCACATTTCTTTAAATGTTGAAATGAGGGCATTATGGCATTTAACTTATGTGACTAACCTGAACTACAGTAATGGAAAAAGTGGGTTTTGTATGGATATAGTCTTTGGAACTGCTTCACAGAGTTTATTGCATTTTATATGAGTAATTAGCACAAGTCTTTACGTTTGATATTGAGTAATTTTTAGTTCTGATAATAAACAACTTATTTGAGTTAGCAAAAATAAAAGTTACACGTATATATTACGTATATATACGTATATTTCAAATGTTTTAGTTGCTCTAAGGTGTTTGAGCTACTTGAATAATAAAATTAGCATATTAGCATAAGTAGTTCATGGTGTTCCAGCCAAATAATCGAGTACAAGTTTACTCGAACAGCCTAAATAAAATTTGAAAGACTACTATATATATGTATATACATATATAAATTATATGAAACTAAATTGTTTTATTTCATTTCATATATTAACTATGTAATTTACAATATATCTTAAGAACTATTATACAAATGCAGAGGAAAATTTTATGCTTAACTTATTAAAATTACATTAAAAACTAAAAATTAATAAATTTAAAGAACTATTATATACATATACATGCGTATCAGTTAACTATAGTAGTAAAATCCACATTATATATTATATGTATTTTTTTTATAATAAAAAAGTTAACATCTAGCTACACAATAAGAAAGTTTTTCTTAATGGAAGCTCTAGACTAGAATACAAAATTAAGACTTTTTACCTGGTACATTGTTTGTATAGCAACCGTCGATTAACAAATGGCCATCAGTATAGTCACAAAGTGGTGGAAAAACACCAGCTATTGACATGCTCGCACGAACATAACGCCACAAATGGCCTGCAGTTTGGAGGTGGGACACAATATTACAATATAGTAAATAAAATAGCATACAGTAATTACATTAATATAGAAATTAAATATTTATCAAAAATGTATGAAAAACCAATACAGTATTTAGATTGGTTAGATGAATAATTTTAATTAAACAAATTTAAAAATTGAAAAAAAAAAAAACTGAAATATATAAGGCACGTAGAAGTGTTTTTGTGTGTGTATTAGTTTCTGTACCATTGAAAAAAATTATAAACATTTTAAATATGCAAATGTGTGCAATACTAAAAAAGTTCTGAACTTGGTAAGGATCAAAATAAAAAAATAGAGTCAGCACATAGTACTTACATTTCTCAGATTATTCCAGAACTATATTATATATACATATATTTATATACCCAAATATTTTCAAAAATACTGCACAGCATGCTCTAAGATGCGAATTATTAATTATAAAAATAAAATATTTTTATCAGCCAACTATAATTTAAAATAAATAAAATAAACTACAATTTATATAAACTTAAACTATCATAAGCTTAGACTATTATAATATAATTGCACATTTTTCATTTAATTATGTACATTTTTTTCTTTATTTATTTATATAAAATTAATTAAAATAAATTTAATATTACACTCTGCATTTATATATGATAACCAAACTTAAGCATTCATTAAATTAATTACCTGGCAAATTATTTACATATCCACCATCCAGTAATAGATGTCCATCTTTAGGATCGCATAAAGGCGGCATGTAACCGCTAAGCGACATTGATGAACGTACAAATCGCCATAGAGATCCTGTTAAAGCAAGAGGGAAGGGTTCATATGAATCGAAGGAACTTAGGTACTATTTGGATTTATTTAATGAAATACATTTTTTTTACAATCACATACAATAAATAATATGTATGTTGACTATACATAATTTAAATATATACATTTACAAAATGCGATGAATTTATTAAACATGAAAACAAAATTCACGGAACAATTTTAATGAAATGATAATAAGTCAAATGAGAAATATAAACAAATCACAGCACGATTTAATGAGTTAAGTTTTTAGTTTAAATCTGCCTTTTGGTTATTTAGATAAAAATATATTTTATCTAAATTCACGGAACAATTTTAATGAAATGATAATAAGTCAAATGAGAAATATAAACAAATCACAGCACGATTTAATGAGTTAAGTTTTTAGTTTAAATCTGCCTTTTGGTTATTTAGATAAAAATATATTTTTTTTTTATTAGAATGAAAAGGAATATAACAGAAATAAATATATAATTTAACAAAATTAAAGATAAGTTAGTAGCAATTTGAAGGCAACTTTTAAGAATGGAATTAATAACTATTAATTGGTAACATAAGTTATATAGTTGGGTTGCAAAATAGACCAAGCATTTGTTTTTATGAAAATATTTAATATATTCTTAATTAATTAAAATCTCCATATAATACGGAATCATTTTGTTAAGCTTAGTGGTTTTCTGAATTTATTAAGACTAAAAAAGTTTAAAATTAAGTCAAGTTTAAATTTCATTAAGATACACAAGTTTCATAGGTTTGATAATTAAAAATAGTTTTAAAGAAAATTTGTCGCAAAAGACAGTAAAATTTTATAATTTCATTTTTTTATTTAACATTACTTATACATTATTGGTTTTCTATAAATCCTTACTCTTTATTAAGCTCACATAATCATGTTCTAGCTAATTGGTTTGTTATTCCTATTAATATTCAACTAAAATGTTAGTTTTTAAAAAATTATTAAAACATTTTCGAGATTAAAACTCTTAAGTAACAATGTGATATTATAATTTTAAATTAAAAATAAGTTTTTTATTAATAAGTAATTAATTTTTTAAACAGAAAATTTCAAATGCAACAGAATAATATGAGAAAATTAATTAGTTTTTAAAGAAATTCCCCACAATTTTAGTCAGTAATAAAGTAGTTAGTCAATTTAAATAATAGTTACGATAATACTCGTAACTTAAAAATAATAACTTATTATAAAATATGTCTGAAATAATTTGAGCATGAAAATGCAATAAAAACTCATTTTCAAAAAGTAAATTTTATTTAAAATAATTAAAATAGTTTTCTATAGCAACAACTGCTAAGAACTTTAACAAGTTAATTATATAAAAAAAAACCATACAATTTGATGATAGCAAGAAACTATATATAGCAAACTATTACAATATCAAGTAATTAATTTTATTTATACATTAAATATTTATATAATACAAATTAATGATGATTTTAGTAAAGCATATATAGGTAATATACATAAGTTGATTTTGGTGAGACATACACAATAGCAATAAATAGTTTAAATCATAAAATTAATAATTTACTATAATATCCAAATACTACTTAAATAGGAACATCATAAACATAACTTTACTATTTTAAACTTTAAACAAACTTATTGAACTTATTTAATGTTAATTGTGTTTGTGTAACTAGTTAAATGAAAAAAAGCAATAAATCGTTAAATCGTAAAAATTATTTTTTAATTAATTTATGTACAAAAGTTTGTTTTTTAATATAGAAATTGATTAGTAGTTAAAAATGTTAATAGACAAAAATAAAAAATAAAAACAAAAGCAATTAAAACTATAAGACCAGAAACATATACACGAGCCTTTTATATTTCAGTATTTTTTTTATTAATGTGTTTAGTTGTATGTGAATACAATATATATTTTTATTGCGTTAATGTTGTTTGCATGTATGTTAGAAAAATACAAAACAAAATAATGACACATAAAATATTTATATATAAGAATTTATACGAAACAATGCAAATTAGTGCATGAAGTAGTTGAGGTTTAAATAATGAATCATTTATTAACTGTATTACTCACCATTGGTATGAACACGATGACAACTGGCTGTTATATCAGTTGTCAATGTGAAGTATGGTATCCATAGGTCTTCTATACTAACTTCACCAAGAGTTTCACGTATAGTCTTATTAAATTCACGACCAGAAAACATTGATGTAATTGGATATGTGAGATCCAAAAGTTGTAAAAACCACTTAGTCATTTTCTGTAGTTAAATTAATTTTTTAATTATAATATAATTTTATATATACAATATAATTTTTTTTATACCTTTGACCACTCTCTTGCCTTTTGTGTTGTTGTTGTAATGTTACGTTCTGAACACCAAATTGCACCCATTAAAGCACCAATACTAACACCACCAACCATATCTATTGGTATACCAGCTTCTTGTATAGCTTTCAACATGCCAATATGTGCAGCACCACGTGCACCACCGCCGCCAAGCACTAAACCGATTGAATTGCCTGTTAACCAGCGTGCAAGTCGTGAAAAATCAGAATGCATATTAGGTTCTGACATAAGTACACGACTATATAGATCGTTCTATAGCATGATAAATATATAATAAATTAATTTTGTGTAATTTATATATATTAAATATATTCACTTACAATGCGATATTGACTTTTACGTGTAAACATACGTTTAGGACATTGTACATGATGATGTTTGGTTACCCATGGCCGTACATTAAGCCATTGTAAAGTGTTATTAGGTTTTAAATTGGTTTCATTGTAAAGTAGTATTAATTCTTTTTGTGTACGCATAGCCAGTCGATCAATTTCACGTTCAAATTTACCAACTGCAGGTGTACGATCGCCAAGACCAACAATTAATATCACATCAGCTTGACGCATGCAACGTTGCGTCCAAGCACTTAATGATGAATCACACTGGTAGAGTGTTATTATATTTGCATCTTCTTGTTGTGCCAACCATGAAGTCAAACGGTATTCATTGTTCGATTCAAATATATTTAAACCTAACTGTTTACGCACAACTTCTGATGTAAGACGTAGAGTCGGACCTTTAAATATTTACATTATTTTAATCATTTAAATCAAGTATTTTAATTATTATTTATTAACATACCAATAGCACAAAGGGAATGAAATAATTCATAAGTAAATGCAGTCAGTGGTACATCATCACTTACTGGCACCAATGCAACTGTTGAATATTTATGTGTTACAGGATTTGCTTCAAGCGTTGCTGAATTTGAGCCATGTCTTGTTTGCATTGTACCCAAGATTCTGTGACTAAGTAAACTAATAAGTCTTGTGACCACAATTGGATATCGTAATTTTATCGCATTGAATAGTCCTTCAGGCAATTTTGCTAATTCAGAATCTCGTACAGCCATTACAGTTGTTGTGCGACAGGTTTCAGTTATCATTTCGATTATGCCCACAAGATCACCTTTACCATATTCACCTACAATTTCCTTTTTACCATTTGTATGCGTTGCAACAGAACGTAAGCGTCCACTTAGTACAATATATGTGCTGTCGCTAACCTCATCCTGTCGGTAAACAGCACGACCAGATTCTAGAAATGTCCAATCTAAAGCATAATCACATTGACGAACTAATGGCGAAAGACGGCGCACAACACCGCTACCCAAATCAAGCACAATATTGGGACGTTCACGCATAATTCTAGAATTGAAATTAAATATTTGTTAAGTTTTTATGATAAAAATATATTATGGTCAATATCTATCAGAAAAATAAATAACTTAATTAAGATATTGAATTACTTTAACACCCCCTAATTTAATAGATAATATAATACGTATTGCTTTATTTTATAAATAAATTTCTCCATCTTCTTCCCTTCCAGGGTTACTATAGACGTTAAAGGTTTTCATTAATAACGATAATCTTATTTTCAATAAAATCTATAATAATTTAGAGTACGTTAATCTGGCTGTTAGTAAGCTGTAGATATACTTATTGGTCAGTACTGAAGCGTATCTATTGGTTCATAGCGTACTATATGGAATAAGAGACCTCTATGTAGGCTTCATGCAGAATGATGACCCTTTTTGGTAATCTAAGGCATGATTAAGTATCCATTTTCAGGACGTTTTCCAGCTTTTCATATTATAAAGCAGCCAAACATTTTAAGCATATTTGTGATATAGCATAAATGTAAGTAATTTTCTTAAGTCTAACCACGTTTAATAATTTCATAGATATATTCAGCATTAATTATGTTGTAATTAACGTAAATATTTTAAACTAATTGCTGATATTCGACTTACAAGTAAATTGATGGTCTCCTTATAAAAGCAATTCTGCTATAAACTTTTGATTTTATTGTGTAAGGGCTTGCTTCACCAGTTAGTACTGCTAGACCACCCATGATTTCTCCAGGATGTACACTATGTATATAAGCTTCAGTTTTATCTGTTTGAATATTACGTTTATTATCAGCAACACTTTGATAAACGGCTAAGCCACCAGTCATAACAAACCAGACACAAACATCCTGTAAATACATATAGAATATAGTAGTATATGGTATATCAGATGCATTAACATTATAAAATGGAAATTTCGTGACTTACTTCAGAGTTGCCTTCAGTAATCAGTGTAACACCAGCTTCAACTTCACGCTCTTCTACAAATGGGTCTAAAAAATGACGATCTTCGTCTTTTAAACCTAATTCCCACAATAAACTGTCAACAGCTGAGGCATGTACCAAATTGGAATCAATTGTAGCTACTCCAACTTGTGGCTCAATATGAGATTGAGCAAAATTTTTGTTAGGCTTATTACTATTTAGTGATTGTGAACCTTGTGTATTTACACTATAATGCTGAAATTCATTTGAAATATCAGCTATCATATCTGGTGGAGGCCCCATATCTGATAAGGTATGTTGTATATTTTCAGGTTGCGAACGACGATGGGATGGTGACGTTTTGGATGCATAGGAAAAAGATTGTTGCTTTTTGTGTCGCATATGATTTTGCATTAATTCAGAATTTAAACCTAAATAACTCCGTAGAGCAGTAAAAAGTACGCGCTGCAGTCGTATCATAATAGCTTGTATGACGCGTATCATAATATCAGGATTTTCATCAAATACTTCCTTGAAGGCCTATATAAGGAAAAAATATCTTGAATGTAATTAATTGTAGAAGTATAAGTAAAATTTATATCTGACCTGCATAGGTAATCTAATAACGTAAGACTTCTCCTCTGCTTTCGCAGTAACAGTTTTATAATAACTGGGATTACCAGAAAGTACATCTATAAAACTAAGTAATGATGTTACAGATTCACCTTTTTTGACCGTTTTCAGTGATAGTGTGCTACCGTCAGCATTTGATATATATACATGAATCAAGCCAGATTGTACTATAAAAACACTATCATCTGCATCGGTTATTTTGAATAGATAGTCTCCCGGATCAAGCGTTAAAACTTCGGTATGTTTGCACAGTTTGAGAAAAATAGGCTTTTCAAAGTGTCCAAAAATACGTATGCTCTGTAGCATATAAAGTGCATCTGGTGGTACTCGATCACTACCTTCCATTGTTTCTTCCAAATATTCGACTGGAGGTTCAACAGTCTTCAAATGAAGTGGATCAGTCTGATCACGTCGTAGCTGTAAAATTCGTTTAGCAAAACGCATTACTGCTCTCCGTTTACGTCCTTGTCCACCGTAAACTTGTCCGGAAACATTTTTCACTTTGCGTAACATACGACGACCATAGAAAAGCATTTTGTCACGTTTGCGAAAACGCAAACGCATATCACTTGAATTTGTGTCGTATGCCTGCATTTCGTGGACGGCTTTTTGCTGTAAGAATAATAGCTCTTGTTTCTTTCGGTGAGCCCATAATTTGCATATTATTAAAGTAGTAATCACAAATAATGCAAATAAAGAACACGTTATAAAAACGTATGACTGTAAGAAAAAAGAAAATTATATATGGTTATAAAAAGTTTTTCATTTAATAATAAGTTTTGTTTGTTTTATTTTCTTTGTTATTTATTTCAAAAATATTAATAAGTCTTAGGTACTTATATATGGTTCACTTGCCTAGACATTAGGGAGTCTTATTGTAGAAGTTAAAAAAGTTAATTAATTTATTACACCTTGCACATACAAATAATTATAGATAGTGTACAATTTTTGTTAATATATTGGTAATAAGATATAGAGAACATTAGAGACCTAATAGAGCACATATATATCATTGATTAGTTGAAATATATCAATATGCGATCTTACATGCGAGTATGTAGTAAATGGTTTTAAAATATGGTCAATTTATATACGTCAAAGTAGAAAACATATATAGAAGATAAGGAACTGTCTTTCAAAACATATGCAACTTTCTTTATCCAAGCAATTTGTCTATTTATGTCTTAATCCAGTATTTAACATTAAAGAGCATTACACCATCTATCGTAATATTAACTAGCGCCTTTTTTCTCAAATTTTTTTTCTTTTCGATATTGATCCAGTTTTTACAACTATGTTTCTAAAAGTTTGTATAAGTATTACAATGCATGACAACATCGGTGAGATTGATACTAAAAATCAAAGAGGAACACATTCTCTGATTTAAAAACAAATAGGTTGACGAACCAGACCGCTGGTAATTTAGGTTTCCAAGTTAATTTGTTTAGTTTTTCTGCTCTCATGAAAGAAATTTTGAATATAGGGGACGAAACATGAGTTTTAATTTTCAAGATCAGTTCACTATATCATATCTATATCATATCATATTTTTGTTATTATTTCTAAACGGATTTAGCTAAAATTGATGTTAATATACACAATATAAATACGTATTCTTCTTAAATCTCATTTAGATCAGATAAAGTAGGAACATGGTAGTCATAGTAACCCAGACAATTATTCCGTTGATGAAGGATTGTATGATTTGTTTTTTTAACAAACAGTGCAAATAATACAGAAGCTGTGAATAACATTTGGATGGTGGCAATGATTGGCTATTGGACTTAGACCAGACTGCTCCTTAGAACTAAATTATTATAATAGAAATAAAATATATGTGTTTGCTTATACTTCTCTATTTATCTTAACAAAGTTGAATGTTAAGTATTTATTACAAATTGGAAATATTAAAAATATCTTGGCTTTGACTTATGAGTAATAATAACTAAATTTGTGAGTTTTTGTTGAAAAATGGTAGTTTGGTTTAAAGAGAGATTACAGAATATATCATGGTGCATGGTAGAAGGAAAACTTTTTCAAAAAAAAAGTGGTCTTAAGATAATAAGACATTGATATACGACCAATAAGAAGACAAAAAAGATGGTAAAATTTTGAGAATAATAGCAAAAGGGATAGAGTTTTTCCATAAAATCAGTTTTGAACCATCAAAATTTTTAAACCAATTTAATTAGAAAATTTTTTTAGGTCTGTGCGAATTCGAGTAAATTGATGGTAAGTTGAGGGAAATAGTAAATTATGTCGGTATGGCAGCGAATGTTGGTATTTACCAGAATTTCGAGTAGGGTAAATTAGACAAAAATTAGGTAAATTAGGTATTTGTGAAAATTGTATAAGATTATTAATAAATAAATAAATAAATTTGAAAACTTTTAACCAAAAATAAGAAATAAGTGTAATAAATAAATAAATAAATAAATATTTATATAAGTGCAGTGCAAATCAAATTTTATCACAATTTACTCGTAGTTGCACACGGCCTAGATATCAGATTAACTGATATTATTTAGACTAAAGCTTGGGTACAACCATTTTGATAAATCCTTTTTTTTAAATATTAGGAGCTTTCTGAGTAAATAATTTTTCAGAATGTGAAAATTTTTGGCACATTATAGCTTTTCGTGGAATCCCGAAGACTTTAATACGAAATATTTTTTTTATAAAGTCCTATTACCGTCCTGTAATATTCTATTAGAATTTCTGTTATCTTCGTATTTTTTAAGTTGTTTTTCTTTAAGTCAAGTTGAAACAGTTCTTTATTGACTTGGGCTCTAAATATCAATATGTTGTCATAAAAGTTGATGATTCAGATAAGTATGTGTTAGTATAAGAAAAACGTTTAGTCAATCGGTGTAATTTAAATGATCCACATATTTAATATAATCAGTTCTGCATATATCATATTTATTTCCATATATACTTTTTTAAAAAGCAAAACATAATCAATTTTTTAAGTAATTCAGTTATTATTGATTGCAAATGAGAAAAACAAATTAAATGATTAAACATAACATAAAGTGAATATTCTGTCCATATGGGCACCACTTAAATAATTAGTTTTATGCTAATAGCATTTGTTTGGCATTTTGTTGACGATTTTCCTATTACGCAGAATACGCAGAGTGCAAAGCATAGGAACTTGGCATTGAAATTAGCATGACAGAGTGGCAGAGGCAGCGAAAAGTGCACTGCAATTGCGAGATTGCCTAGTAATTGTTGCATCTCGAGTCACTTCCGCCTTCTACGATATTTGCCCGTGCAACAGTTGTTGGCCGCGCGCATTGTTATTGTTTTCTTGCCAAGTGGTAAACAATAAAATTGTTTTCACTGTTTTTATTTACGTTGCGGTTAATTGAAATATTAAATAATATTATGTATCATTATTTGTTGTAAATAGTAAACAAGATAAAATTAGAAAATATTTCAACATTTCTGTTTTCATTAATTTATAAAATAGTTTTGTTTGGTAATCTCATTTTCATGTTTGAATAGATGTTTATATAGTAATTATAATAGTTATAATAAGTCATTTTTTGTTTAGAAATCTTGAAACTTATAATAAATTTATTAACGAGGCTTATAGGAATAAAATTAAAAAACAAAGTTTTATAAAAAGACACGGATTCTCCAGACTCTCCTCAACGACTACTGTCGAAGTTGTTGAAGAAAGAGATGAAAATGGTACTTAAATGATTTTCTGGCACTGTTTGGTATTGTTAATTATCTACTCTATTCATTACAGTTCACACGTTCTTAAATGTGATCCCGGTATCTTTAAAATGAACGTTAAAGCCATTATCAGCTGCTTTAAAATAATACATACATATATGTTTCCTGACTCAGTAATGGTGTATATCTCTATTCAAAATTTAAATTACTTTTAAGCAATTTTTAAAAAAATCACACACTTGAAAATACAAAAACAATTTAAATAGGAAACCAGATCTATCGTCTTTGGCGTTACAGTTCTAAAACGATCTTTTCCTGTAATCAGATTCTGATTTTTAGTCTATCCTTATTGAATTATATGTTAAGATCTGAGATAGTTTTCCGAGAATTTTTTTTACGTTTTGTGAAACAAAAGTGATCTCCTTCCTTTATCATTTATTATAAATTCTCCCTTCCTTTATAATTAGAGTCAGACACACCCATTTTCAGATGTTCATATGTTTTTTAACCTTTATGTGCTCGGTAGTCTACATTTGTAGCATTTTGTGCGAAAAAGTCTTATAAAAACGAATTTTGCACAACGACAGGGTGCGAGATTTTTAGTAGTTTCCTAAAAATCAATTTTAAGTTAATTTTAAACTTAACAACATCAAAACAATAATTTATTTAAGCCCTAGACCCAACTTTTCAAAATGATCGGCCAGGTAGTCTACATTTGTAGTCACCATATAATTTATATGAAAATTCATATTAAATATCTATGTAGCTCAATATTTTTTAGTTCCAACATGCAGAAACATGTTCCTTTGTAATTTATTTTATTCTCTGTTTACTTGTACATACTTCTGCTGCATATTTGTACTTATATGCATGATTTTATGGTTTAGATCGCAACAGTAGGAGGATTAGGAAGCGCAGTTCATACTGCTGTAATCAATTTTCTGCTTATGCTCAATCTGATTACAATGTAATGCTTTCGATCCGCTTTTGATTGGTTAATTTGGTAATGAAATAGTTTATTTGAAACATAGAGCAGTAAAATAAAATGAGAATATTGGAAAATATGATTGAACGTGCTTCAACTCGGCCACTATGAGTTGTTAAACAGTAAGTGTGTTTGCAGGTTTTCCTTTTTTTGGAAGTGGCTTATGAAAAAAGAATGGCGACAATATATTGACAAATTACTGAGCGAGATTGATGAGGAGGAAGAGGAGCACTAGTTTTTAGCGATGAATGGTTTGATGATCATGTACCACTTGACCATCATACAAGTTCCAGCTCAAGCAATGTTTTTGTTGGTGCTGTAAGTGTTGCGATTAGTTTCTATTCTAAAGAATCTGACGCCGAGAATGAAATGATACTTGGTGAAGAAGGTGATTCAGAGATATGAGCAAGAATAAGGTATATTATTCGAAATAAATTTTGATTATGTGATGAATGTCAAAGAGACCTCGGTCGTTATGCAGCATCTTGATACATTTGTGTCAAGAGATAATACTGTCTGGTTCAAAACTACACCTAATCAAGTAGGTCGCACTACTGCTCACAATGTGTTTCATGACACTACTGTTGGTCCAATTCGAGCGACTAAAGGTCTAATTTTGTACACCGTATTCGATACTTGAATAAATTTTGAGAGGAACAAACTAAAAAGCCAGAAAAACTACGCGAAATATTTGCAGTTGGTGCATAAAAACCAGTGTGTGACGTACAAACAGTCACATATTCTTTGGGTGAATGTTGTTCCTCAAAAGCTACTTAAAATCTTTTTTACCCAAATTTTGTATAATAATTTTCATAATAAATATGTACAATTGTCTGTAAAAGTAAACTAATCTGTCTAAAAGTGTTTTTTTAATATGTTGGTCTAGATTTCTTCATAACATACTTGCTTGCTACAAATGTAGACTTCCGACCGGCAACGTAGGAAAAATATCCCGAGCACATAAAGGTTAATAAAGTTTTCTAACTTTAAGTAGCACTAAAGACACTAAAATATTTGAGGAATAATTTTTTTTTATTTTCATTTTTTT